AATTCTATTTCTTTTTTGATACAGTCTTATCTGTACTTCTTTTTTTTTGGAGAGTGTTTTGCTCTTTTGCCCAGGCTGGAGTGAAGTGATACAATCTCGGTTCACTGCAACCTCCACCCCTTGGGTTCAAGTGATTCTCCTGCCTCAGCCTCCCTAGTAGCTGGGATTATAGGCACCCACCACCACATCTGGCTAATTTTAGTATTTTTAGGAGAGACGGGGTTTTGCCATGTTGGCCAGGCTGGTCTTGACCTCCTGACCTCAGGTGATCCACCCACCTTGGCTTCCCAAAGTGCTAGGATTACAACTGTGAGCCATCGTGGCTGGCCTGTACTTCTTATGTGACAGTGTAAAATGAAGGCCACTATGTATTTCAATTAATGGCATCTAAACTTGGTTCCTCATTTGGGTAGGAGGACATGGAGCAGTTTCTTTTTTTGTGAATTCTAAAGCAAACCTTGTTAACTCTGAACAGATCTTGAGAGATCTAACGTCAGAAGTATGTATTGAGCACCTAAAGTCTTTACCTTTAGTTTTTCTAAATATTTTACCTCCAGTTGATGCCACCTCTGAATCCACATTTGGAAATTCATAATTCTTCAGATATTTTTTCTTTTGTGGGTTAGAACCTCTCATGAATACTTTTTAGTGGGTTGAAACATAGTTACACAGCATTAATATTTACAGTCACCTAAACTTATTTCTTTGTTTACCGAGCCTCATCTCCGTGCCTCTAGATGAGATTGTGCACCTGAACTGCAGGCTCCCTTTAGGACCTCACTGGTATTGCCTTGTGATGACTCACCATTATAGTAAATTCCACCCAGCTCAAACTAATCCCAAAATAGGGTTCAGGGATTACCGACAAAGGCTAGGCTAATTCTTTGCATAACGGCCGAGTGGTAGAGCAGAAAAAAACATGAATCAGAGTCCTAGATTCAAATTCCAGTTTGACCATTTGCAGACACTTTGACTTAGAGCACTTTAAGTATCATCACTGAGCCTCCCTTCCTCATTCGTGAAGAGGGATCATATTACTCACCTTATAGCATTTGTGTTGTAAGGAGTCAATAAGATCATCATATGAGTGAAGTGCCAAAGACCATGCCTGGCCCATAGATGTCATTAAACAGGGTAGCTGTTTTCTCCCTAACTATAAAGCAGCATCATTGTCTGAGGTAAATACCCGAAGGTCGTCATCTCACACCAGGGAAATTGGGGATACGGACACATAAGAAGTGAATTTAAGAGCAGAGATTTGGCCGGGCGCGGTGGCTCAAGCCTGTAATCCCAGCACTTTGGGAGGCCGAGACGGGCGGATCACGAGGTCAGGAGATCGAGACCATCCTGGCTAACACAATGAAACCCCGTCTCTACTAAAAATACAAAAAAATTAGCCGGGCGTGGTGGCGGTGCCTATAGTCACAGCTACTTGGGAGGCTGAGGCAGGAGAATGGCGGGAACCCGGGAGGCGGAGCTTGCAGTGAGCCGAGATCGCGCCACTGCACTCCAGCCTGGGCGACAGAGCGAGACTCTGCCTCAAAAAAAAAAAAAAAAAAAAAAAAAGAGCAGAGATTTAACAGGGGAAAGAAAAAGAGAATAGCTCTCTCCTGCAGAGAGAGAGGGGCGGCCGAGTGGGTCTTCCGGTTTCATGGTGAAATGCATGGGATTTTGTAGAGGAGCTTGAGGAGGTGGTGTCTGATTTACATAGGGCCGGAGAGGTTGGTCGGACCAGACGTTTCATTTGCATAGTGTGCAAAGAAGATGGCTATCCCACCCTAATCTTTGATTATGCAGATGGGGTCTGTACCTGGCTGGTGCCATGTTGTCTGCTTTTTTACTGCACATGTGGTGACAAAGAAAAGGAAAAAGAGAATCTCCGTGCTGAATATACCTGCCTTCCAGGTATCCCTTTTCTATTGGCACAGCTGCTGGCAGTTACCTATGGATGCTTTTAGCTTGCTTATCTATGCCTGCACCTTGATTTTTTGGGCTGCTTTTTATTAAAAGGAAACCTTATCGAGGACTCTCTTACCCTTACTATCTGCCTAAATAATTTCTTTCTAGCTCCTGTATCAACTAGATTGAAAGTTCCATGAGGCCTCAAATCTGATGGATCCCAGTTGCTGTTTTTCCAGTAACTAGAATAGTGCTGGGCACATGCTAGACACTTAACAAATACTTGGTAATTGATTGTTATAATTATTATCATAAAAGTAAGGTAAACTCCAGTGCCTTCTTCAAAGAATCCTGCCTCCATCCTCTTTTTCAAATTAAGTCCAAGCACAAATCTTTCCATGAAGCCACATCTGTATGCTCTAATTTGTAGCTATTTCATGCTTAACTGGCACCACCTCCTCCCCTCCTTACCATTTACTATCAGGATTAAACAGGAGTGCACTGCATATACAATGTAGGGCCTAGATAATTTCTCCCTATCTTTGAGTCTTGTCTTCTTAAAATTCAATTCTACCAGTCATTCTTGATTTTTAAGCAATTGCTGGGCAGTGTGCTGGGTTCTAGAAAAGAAACAGTATCTGCCTCTAGGAGTACCTAGTCTTTCAGTGGATACAGCTTTGTAATCTAACAATTGCATCACAAGGTGATATGAAAAACTATAGGCACAGAGTATCTAGGTAGCAGAGATGGGAGAAAGTGATTAACTTTCTCAAAAATCAGGTTATAAGGAAATGTGACTTTTCAAGGAAGGTTAGGAATTTTCCAGCTGGTTAAGGTGGGAGAAGAATATTCCCAGGAGAGTAAACAATATGTGCCCAAGGGCATGAGATAGCAGGATATTATCCTGGAGAACGTAGAAGCAATTCAGTACTGTTGGAGCATAATGAAGAAGCTGGGAAGTAAGGAGGGGGCCAGGAAATTGAGGATGATAAGTTCAGAGACAGACCCAGTGGCCATATGTAGCAAAGTTTTGAATGTCATAAATACTGTGGGTGACGGGGACCCTGGAATGGGATTATCTGAAGAAGTTTAGAAATGACCTTTGATGGCAGGGTAGAAAATACACCAGGAGAAAAAGTAAAAGAGATTAAAGCTGCACAATACTTCAGGAAGAAGTATGAGTGGTCTGGATGAGAAACACTGAGGGCCTGATGTGTAGCAGGACAAGTCGCAGACAAAACTCCTCAGACACAGAGTTAAAGAAGGAAGCAGTTTATTCGGCCAGGAGCATCGGTAAGACTCCTGTCTCAAGAGCCAAGCTCCCGAGTGAGCAATTCCTGTCCCTTTTAAGGGCTCACAACTCTAAGCGTGAGAGGGTCGTGATGGATTGAGGAAGCAGGGGGTACGTGACTGGGGGCTGTATGCACCGGTAATCAGAACGGAACAGAACAGGACAGGGATTTTTACAATGCTCTTGCATACAATGTCTGGAATCTATAGATAACATAACCGGTTAGGTCAGGGGTCAATCTTTAACTACCAGGCCCAGGGCGTGGCACCGGGCTGTCTGCCTGTGGATTTCATTTCTGCCTTTTAGTTTTTACTACTTCTTTCTTTGGAGGCAGAAATTGGGCATAAGACAGTATGAGGGGTGGTCTCCTCCCTTAGACTGAATCAGTGCTGATGAGACAGAAAGACAGATTGAGCTGATTTTTAGGAGACAAAATTCAGAATTGATAAGGCTAGCTTGGACTTCGGGTGTAGGTAGATAAAAAGGAGAAAAAAATAGCACTGTTATTGTTGTGTATCTGTTACTCGGTAAAATGTAATGCTAATCACATAAAAATGCTCAGAAATAGTTCTTTAATAAATAAGTCTCCATAGAATTATCTGGTCTTGATTTAATTTTATTTCCAATTTTAATATTACTTTCTATTAACTAGAACCTTCCATGCTTTACCCAGCCTCTTGGTGTGTTTCCAGTCTACAAGGATTCTCTTAATATTTCCAAGTGATTTACAAGCAGAAAACTAAAAGGTGACTTTGTTTTCCAACCACATATTTATCTATTTAGATAGTCATTAGCATAGTATTCAAAAGCCATCTGAGAATGACGTTGCATGACTAAAAACAAAGAAGGAAAGATGTCAAACCTCAATACACAAGCATGAACCTTCTTTTCATTGCAGGCCACATAGAGGAACACCACAATTTTTCTTAGTATTGAAGTTCATCTCAGCCTCAACCAATCTTTAACTGTGTATCATAAACACAGATTTTTTTTCATAGAAAACAATTTCTAGTTTACAGAAAGAAATGTCAAACTCAGTCTATCAGAGCTTTAGAATTATCATGGAAGATGAACAACAAAGTATAAGCAAAATTGCTTGTTTTTGTAAGCTAATTGCAACTACAGAGATGAGAAAGTCTTCCATTGATACGATGGCTATCGTGCATATATTTTTATATATTTCTAAGGATTGAAAGGAGAACTATCAGGGTTTCAGATACATTTTGAAGAGATAATGTTATGTATTTATTTTGAGATAGGGTCTTAGCTCTGTCACTCAGGCTGAAGTGCAATAGCAAGATCACAGGTCACTGCAGCCTTGACCTCCGGGGTTCAAGTGATCCTTCCACCTCAGCCTCCTGAGTAGCTGAGACTACAGGCACTTACCACCATGCCTGGCTAATTTTTAAAATTTGTAGACATGGGGGTCTCACTATGTTGCCCAAGGCTGATGTCGAACTCCTGGGCTCAAGCAATCCTCCTGCCTCAGTCTCCCAAAGTGCTGGGGTTACAGGCACGAACCACCACTCCTGGCAAGGAGATAATTTTATTTATTTATTTATTTAGCTATTTTTTTTGAGACAGAGTCTTGCTCTGTCACCCAGGCTGGAGTGAACTGGTGCCATCTCAGCTCACTGCAACCTTTGCCTCCCGGGCTCAAGTGATTTGCCTGCCTCAGCCTCCTGAGTAGCTGGGATTACAGGTGTGCACCAACATGCCCAGCTTTTTATTGTATTTTTAGTAGAGATGGGGTTTCACCATGTTTGTCAAGCTAGTCTCGAACTCCTGACCTCAGGTGATCTGCCTGCCTCAGTCTCCAAAAGTTCTGGGATTACGGGTATGAGCCACCATGCCTGGCCAAGGAGATAATTTTAAATGATCAAAAATTTTGAAGGCATATCATACATGTACGTGTATGATCTCTGAAAAGTGTTTTAAAGATAAAGTCAGCAAAGTATAGCCTGTTGGCCAAATCCGACCCACCACCTGTTCTTGTAATGCTGCTAATTAAGAACAGTTTTTGCATTTTTAAATTTTTAAAAGGTTGAAAAAAATCAAAAGAAGAATAAAATTATCTGAAATTCCAATTTCAGTGTCCATAAATAAGGTTTTATTGAAGCACAGTTCACTCATCCATTATGTACCAGCTGCATTCATGCTACAATAGCAAAGCTGAGTGGTTATGACAAGACTTTCTGGCCAAGAAAGCCTAATGTACTTACTAGCTGCCTCTTTCCAGAGACTGTTTGTCAGCCCTGTTTTAAGAGCTTTCCTCTAAAGAAACACAAGCCTTTAGTAAAATGAAGACTTCTTCATAAAGATTTTCTGTGTCAGTCATACATTATGTTAAAAAAAGAAAATACATGAATTTAGTAAAGATAAAATTGATATTATAGACTAAAATAATAGGCTTGCCTTTATATTTAGGATGCTTATTTTCCCACCTTATGTCAGTAGCATAGTTACAAGAACACATGCTTTAGGGTGGTCATTCTTTTTTCTTGAATCTTGATGAGCTTTGCATGACCTTGGGCTAGTTATCTAACCTCTAGTAAGCCTTAGGTTTCCTACAAGAACAGAATAATAACCATACCAACCTCATGGGAGTATGGTAAGTACCAAAATGGGTAAGTGGAGCATTTTTTGGGGGGAGTTACTTAGCTTGTTATCTGGTAGTAGGTGTGCAATAGATTATAATTATCATCATTCTCTGAAAATGTCACTTTTGCTTTCTGGTGCTCCATTCCTAGTACTGCCTGTAAGGTCTGCTTTGACAAGGAAATCTGTAAGACCGTGCCAACATCATTTTGCATAGCCAGAGCCCCTCTCTGTGTTATAATCTGGAGAAAAACTGTCCTCAGGTACATGAATCCAAGAACACACTTGACAGAAGAATGGAAAAAGGGAAGCCTAGGAAGTCTAGAAACAAAAATCATAGTGATGAGCGGTGCTGGAAGGCTGGTCAGCAGCCAGAGTACAGCTTGTGAGCAGCATATTGGGATTTTTTTTTTTCCACGTTAGACTCTATTCCAACTCTTTCTATGGAGAGCCCACGGTTTTGTGATGGGTTGTTGACGAAGGAAAGCTCTGAATTTTTTAGAGTAGATGAAGTGTTTGTCATTTTATTCCATTTTATGTTAGGTTCACACTGCCATTTTTCTTTTATTATTTGATGTCTTAGCTGATGACATCCCAGGCGACTCCCAGGCGAAAAGTACCCGGAAAATCATGAGGGTGCAGTTACTGAAAACTCAGTGATTTCTTTTTCACTGGGCTTGTTCTGCCTTTAGAATCGTTGTGACTGTGGATTCCTGCGGAGGAACTAGGGCCTGGGGACCTCATGGCTCCTCAGCTATGATGCACTTTCTCTTTTCTTCCCTTATCTCAAGTAGGTCCTGAGCAGCCCAGCCCAGGTGGTCTCTTCTGCTCACCAGGGGTGGCCTGGAGTCAATTGATAAGAGCCCTCTTTTCTTGGCCCTTACAAAACAAATTTCTGCCTGAAGACAGCTAAAGGGGAGAAAAACACCACCAAACCAACAACTCCTTTGTACCTCCATTATCCCCAAAATTAGATAAAGAAAAGTTAGAATACCAGGAGGCAGCAGACATCTCCACAACGCAGCTTGGAAGCAGAATTTCTGTAGATCTACTGTCCTTTTTTTTTTTTTTTTTCAATCACATAGAAGAATTTGTACAAATCTCATTTGTTTTCACTTCCTGCATTTTTGTGTCTTGACACAGTATTTTGAGGAAAATTCCTCTGAATTTTATGCTTGCTCTTCAATTACGGTTGAACAGGAACTGTTAATTGAGTTTAGCCACTCAAAAGAACAAAGTATTTCATCATTCTCACATATTCTGGTTGGATTCATGGTTAAAGAAGACAAATAGAAACACTCACACATCAGCCTGGTGTGGGGATAAAACCAAAAACAGCGATGCTCACAGGCATGCCTGAGAGTGGAATGGTGGTGGTGGGGGGGTGCCTGTTTACTGGTAGTAGGAGTAACTCTCGTCATCGTATTCCAGCTCATCTTCGTCATCGTCATCCAGCAGCCCATACTTAAATTTCCGGTAGACTGTGCCATCCTGGCCCATGTAGACGATGTCATCATCGTCATCCTCATCATAGTCCCGATCCCTGTACTCAATCACCTGATCCTCTTCAAAGCTGGTGCTCTCTCCATAGCTGCTCTTATAGGAGGAGTAAGACTTGTTGGGGTCGGCCAGCTTTTCATAGCCGGCCTTTGCTGCTGGCTGGACTCGGCCGCGAGATTTCTTCCACACGACCACAGCTGCCCCGAGCAGAAGCGCCAGCATCACGGAGGAGGTGATGAATAGAGCTGTCTTGAAGGGCTCAGCTGCAGGCCTAACCTTGCTTGTTCGAAGGATGCACTCTTCTGTTGGAGGAAGATCCCAAGGGAAGAGGCAAGAGGGAAAAAGTGGAAGAAATAGAAAAGAGAAAATGAGATTCTGAAGTCAAGAATTTCACCTTTATTTTAAAAATTGAAAATGGTAGAATCACTGTCTCTGATTTTCCTCTTTTTTTAATTTTAATTTTAATTTTTTGTAGAGACAGCTTCCCACTATGTTGCCCTGGCTGGTCTCAAACTCTTGGGCTCAAGAGATCCTCCCACCTTGGTCTCCCAAAGTGCTGAGATTACAGATGTGAACCACTGCACCCGGCCTGTCTCTAATTTTCCTAGAAGGCATACCACTGTATAAAATTGGAGTATGTACCCCGTGAGAATCCTAGCCTATGTCTGATGAAGCCAATAAATCCTTCTAGAAAGAAGGTCAGTTTGCCATCCAAAGGGAGTTCCCTTATCCCTGTACCTCATAGGTCAGTCACCAAGTGTCCAACCTTATCAACTGATTCTTCTATTTCCCTCCTAAGAAAATATTTCATCTTGGGCCAAGCTTTAGTTATTGCTAAATGCTCTATTTTCTTTCCCAATTCCAACTTCTTTTCTAAGACTGAGTCCTCTCCCAAGGTACCCTTAAGCCTGGGCCAAGATGACTGTCCCACCACTTAAGGGCAAGAGCAGATAATTTATAAAACTACTGACTCTGAGAGCCATGTGGGGCCTTAGAAATGACTTAGGCCAATTTGTTGTTTGACATTTGAGGGAACTAAAGTCCATTGAGAGGAAGTGAATTGTCACATTGTCGGAGACAAGACCTTATTTGTGGAGCAATCAGAATTCAAATCCAGGAATCTTAGCTCCATGGTACGGTCTAAAGACATTAGGACAAAAGGCTCTGACAACTGTTCTTTGGCTTCCTGGAGTTTTGTGCTCCTAGCCTGGCAGAAATAGAAGTACCATCTTTAAATCCTATCAACTTGAATGATAGGGAATTTTTTTCTATCATTATTAAGAGTTGCTTTCTTTTTTTATTTTGAGATGGAGTATCTCTCTGTCGCCCAGGCTGGAGTGCCGTAGAACAATAGCTCGGCTTACTGCAGCCTCTGTCTCCCAAGCTCAAGCAATTCTCGTGCCTTAGCCTCCTGTGTTGCTGGGACTACAGGTGCACACCGCCATGCTTGGCTAACTTTTGTAGTTTTAGTAGAGATGGGGTTTCATCATGTTGGTCAGGCTGGTCTTGAATTCCTGACCTCAGGTGATCCACCCTTGGCCTCCCAAAGTGCTGGGGTATAAGCCACCACACCCAGCCATTATTAAGATTTTTGAAATCCAGAGCTCCGATCCCTGTCATCCATCAGCCTTTGTTTTGATGCCTTGATTGAGAATATGGAGTAACCAAAACAGTTTCATGGAAGGAAAGATTCAACTGTAACTTTAGTGATGAGGATGAGCTCATTTTTCTTACTTATTCATTTATCCAGGTGGTATGATTTGGGTAGTATGTCTATTTTTTTTCTATTCTTTAACCCACCACATGGGAGTATGAAAGAACCAGAGAAAAAAACTATCAGGCCATGTTGGATGTACAGGCTGAGATACACGTAGGTTTTTCATAAATATTTGTTGAACCTCTTGGATCTCTCTTGTTCAGGGGATAATTTCATGAACAATTCTAGGTACATTCTACACACTAGATAAATAAATATAACACTGCTGCCAAGGTGCAATGATTTTTGCTTATTAAATATTGACCAATTAGATCTGATTCATCATGACTGTGTATTTCTCTTTCTTTTCTGCTAGTGAGAAACAAGTTTTCTACTTTATCATAATTTTCATTCTCATGGGATTTTACCTATCAAGCCAACTTTCTTCTTCTAAAGTAACAGCCCTATCATTATTACATTCATCATTAGCAAGTTCAGCACAGAATTTTTCCCTGGAGAAGACATTAAAGCAATGGAGAGATTGATAAGCAATCTGTGTGTGGTACTGTGAGATAAACACTGCCTGAAGCAGTAGAATCAATATAAAAACCTTTCGATGTTGTTTCAATTACTAGGGTGCCATATGCAGTCATGGCTTGCTTACTATTCTCCATCCCAGATCTGCAGAGTCAGGGTTAGCCTCTGTGATATGGTTTCCTTGAAGGGGCAGAGTGTCTCTGTAAAGAAGGATCAGGTAATCAAGAGCATTTAGACTTTTGCAGATTGCCGCAGGTGGCTCTTCAAGAGCTGCAGGGGGACCAGAAGAGCTGACAAGATAGTTCTTAGTTGGAACAGGCTTTCAGAAACTCTGCATGCAACATGCACAAACTTCTGGTTTCATTTAAAGGCGTTAATGTTGTGAGGGTTATTATTCTTAGCTGATACAGAATGGATACTAGCAATCAGACCCTGAAGGTAGGTGTGTCTGAAGAACAGGGAAAACCAGCTGCTCATGGGGTTGGGAAAGCGGAAAGCAGGAAAATGTTTTTGGAAAGATGATACTTAAAACCCAACTGAAAATGCTGATCAAGCCAGATGCGGTGGTTCATGCCTGTAATCCCAGCACTTTGGGAGGTTGAGGCGGGCAGATCACCTGAGGTCAGGAGTTCGAGACCACTCTGGCCAACATGGTGAAACCTGTCTCTACTAAAAATACAAAAATTAGCCGAGTGTGGTGGCGCATGCCTGTAATCCAAGCTACTCTGGAGGCTGAGGCAGGAGAATCGCTTGAACCTGGGAGACAGAGGTTGCAGTGAGCCGAGATTGTGCCATTGCACTACAGCCTGGGTGAGAGTGAGACTCCATCAAAAAAAAAAAAAAAAAAGATGAAAAGAAAGGAAGAAAGAAAGGAAAGAAAGAAAGAAGACAAAAGGAAGGAAGGAAGGAAAGAAGGAAGGAAGGAAAAGAAAGAAGAAAGAAAGAAGGAAAGAAAGAAAAAGAAAAAGAAAGAAAGAAAGAGAAAGAAAAATGCTGATCAAAAATAAAAAAGAAGTGGCTGGTAGCAGTTATGGGTCTGGGATTTTCTTTTTTCTTTTTTTTTTTTTTGAGATGGAGGTTCGCTTTTCTTGCCCAGTCTAGAGTGCAGTGGCGTGATCTCGGCTCATCGCAACCTCTGCCTCCCAGGTTCAAGTAATTCTTCTGCCTCAGCCGCCCTAGTAGCTGGGATTACAGGCATGTGCCACCACACCCGGCTAATTTTGTATTTTTAGTAGAGACAGGGTTTCTCCATGTTGGTCAGGCTGGTCTTGAACTCTCGACCTCAGGTGATCCACCCGCCTTGGCCTCCCAAAATGCTGGGATTACAGGCGTGAGCCAACGTGCCCGGCCTGGGTCTGGGATTTTCTTTACTTACAAATGGACCAACTCAGAAATATGGCATCTCTTTTTGTAGGTGAATGTTACTTCTAGACCCCAAGGAAATTATCTACGTCTGGCCTAGAGAGTATATTTTAAGAATATATGTTTCTTTTTCTTCTTTTTTCTTTTAGAAAAAATCACTCAGTTTGAGATTTTTCTAAGTTTATGACCAACGAGAACCAAGTACCCACATGGATGGGGTTAGTTAGACTTGAGGATAGCTGAGGGACTGGAAATCGGTAAAGGGGATTTTACTTCTTCTTACCCTTCAATAAAAATTCATTTCTAAAATGTCGTAAGTCTCTAATGAGAGGCCCCGGTTTGGGCTGACTTTCATAGAATGATTCTTCAACAGAATCAAGATAATATTGACATCAGCTTCCTTGATAGTTGATTCTTTTCCTTTTTTCCCAGGAGGGAAGAATAAAAAAAGGAACAAAGTAATTCATAAAGATAAAATGCTAGCTCTACTTGAGTTCTAGTCTTGGAGGCAAGTGGAGCATCTAATTCCAGATGAACCATTTTTTTAAAAAAAATTGAGCCAGCATCTTGCTCTGTCACCCAGGCTGAAGTGCAGTGGTGTGATCTCGGCTCACTGCAATCTTTGCCTCCTGGGCTCAAGAGATCCTCCCACCTCAGCCTTCTGAGTAGCTGGGACTATAGGCATGCACCACCACGCCCAGCTAATTTTTGTATTTTTAGTAGAGATGGAGTTTTGCCATGTTACTCAGGCTGGTCTCAAGCTCCTAGACGCAAGCGATCTGTCCGCCTCGCCCTCCCAAAGTGCTAGGATTACTTACAGGCATGAGCCAACGCGCCTAGTCTCCAGATGAAACTTTTAATATTGGTGTGGACTTGGGCATGTGAATCAAACTCTTTGAGCCTCAGACTCCTCATCTATAAAATGGGACTGATAATCTCTACTTGTGAAGTGAGACAATGGACGTGAAGTTTCAAGTACAGGAGGCCCATAGTAGGCACTCAATAAAAAGATAGCCATATTGATTCTCCTGAACTTTCCATCCCCACTCCCTCTGCTCCCATTGGCTTCCTGAGGACATGCCCTTCCTCTGCAGGCTGCTCTTGCTCTCCCCTCACCCGTGGTGTCCTGGCAGTCACAGCACTCCTGGGCACTGGTGGGATCGGAGGTGTTGCAGCAGTGGAGGCAGCGGCTGTCGTCCACGTGCAGCACCAGGTTGGCGGGGCACAAGGTGCAGTTCTTGGCCCCTGGTCCCTTGCATTCCATGCAGCTCTCGTGGCATTTTTCACAGTTAAACTTCTCTCCCTGGTAAGAGCAATCAAGAGGTTCCGTCTGAGTGCAGAGGGATTAACAAGCACTGGAGTTCCCAGATGGTATTTCATCTTGTCTCCATAAGGAGGGAGGTGTGTGGGGGACAGAAGGATGGTGTGTTCTGAGCCCATTTTAACTGTGCTGGGTGAAAGAACCCACTGTCTGTGATGGGGTGGAATCATGGCTGTGCCCTGCCCTTTGAGATCTGCTAATAACAGTGGGAGAACAGACGTCTAGAACAGTTTGGGTTAGGAGCTGACAGCTCCTGTGCTCAAGGACAGCTCCTGTGCTTAAGGACAGCTCAGGTCAAGGACTAGTTTTGTCTGGCCCACACTGTTGACTTTCAGTTTAAAATATTTTGCATTCATTTCCCACATCTCAAAAGTGGGATATTTCACATGTAAATTAGTTCCTAATTTCTCTTTAGAAACTAGAAGACCTGTCAACACTGGATTTGTCACTCCCACGTGACAATGGCCCCCCTTTCCACTCTTCTATTTGACACAATTCCCAGCACTTGCTATGATGTCACCAACATGTAGGTGATACATCCACTTCTACTTTCCTTCAAGCTTCAAGCTTACACTGTGGTTTTCTTTGACCCAGCATTTATGTTTGTGACCTGCTTGGCCCTCTGTGGTTACTGGATTATTGTGGTCAGGCCCCAGAATAATATAGATTGTGGCTGTGTAGCTCAAGTAGTTACATCTCTTTAGGAAGAGAGTGGAGAGATGAGAAGAAAGTGGCTTCCCTCCTGACAAGTTGCTCCTTGACTGGTGCTGGAAACGTGGGTTAGGGAAGGTGCCTTCCTGTTTTACTTCTGTAACTTTGGAAGTATGGTATGACAGAAAAAGAAGAAGGAATGGAAATTGCTTTTGTTGAGCACCTTGGCATGTTTCAGGCACTGACAGGTGCTTTCTCAGCTGTTACTATCTCATTGAATCCTGCATCTCACATATTATCTCATCCTTCAGGTTTAATCCCAGCTTTGTTACTTACCACTCATATAATTTTTTTTTTTTTTTTCTTTTTGAGACAGGGGCTTACTTTATTGCCCACGCTGGAGTGCACTGGTGTGATTGGATTCAAGCAATCTTCCTGCTTCGGCCCCACATATAGCTGGGACTACAGGCATACACCACCATGTCCAGCTAATTTTCTTTTTTTGTATTTTTTGTAGAGATGAGGTTTCACCATGTTGCCCCGGCTGTACTCATATAATCTTTAACCTCTTTGAGCCTCAGTTTCTCTAAACTGTAATGAGGGCTGTTGCCAGAATTTAAAGAGAACTCATACGTAAATATATTAGTTTGTGTTAATGTCATCATGGGGAAATTTACTTATTTTCTAAAGTTTGAAAACACAATCAAGAAATTTGTGGTCTTGCCGGGTGCGGTGGCTCACACCTGTAATCCTAGCACTTTGGGAGGCTAAGGTGGGTGGATGGCTTGAGCCCAGGAGTTCGAGACCAGCCTAGGCAACATGGTGAGACCCCGTTTCTACTAAAAATACAAAAAATTAGCTGGGCATGGTTGTCAGAGGCATTTGAACCAGAGCAACTCCATCTTGAATAGGGGCTGGGTAAAATAAGGCTGAAACTTAGTGAGCTACATTCCTAGATGGTAAGGCATTCTAAGTTACAGGATGAGATAGGAGGTCGGCACAAGATACAAGTCATAAAGGCCTTGCTGATAAAACAGCTTGCAGTAAACAGCCAGCCAAAACCCACCTAAACCAAGATGGCAATGAGAGTGACCTCTCGTGGTTCTCACTGCTACACTCCTACCAGCGCCATGACAGTTTACAAATACCATGGCAACATCAGGAAGTTACCCTATATGGTCTAAAAAGGGAAGCCATGAATAATCCATCCTTTGTTTAGCATATCATTAAGAAATAACCATAAAGATGGGCAAGCAGCAGCCCTCACAGCTGCTGTGTCTATGCAGTAGCCATTCTTTTATTCCTCTACTTTCTTAATAAACTTGCTTTCACTTTGCCCTATGGTTTTGCCCTGAATTCTTTCTTGTGTGAGATCCAAGAACCCTCTTTTGGGGTCTGGATTGGGACCCCTTTCCGGTAGCATCTTTCTGGCAACCACAGAAGTGACAATAGTGAGGAAACTCCCAACCCAAAGGCTAACTTTGGGTAAGTGGTGGGGACCAGTGACATGGTAGTCCCAGCTATTCAGGAGGCTGAGTTGGCAGGATCACCTGAGCCCAGGAGGTCAAAGCTGCAATGAACTGTAACTGCGCCACTGCACTCCAGCCTGGGTGAGAGTGAGATCCAGGCTTAAAAAAAAAAAAAAAAAAAAAATTATGGTCTCAAAATCCATGGCAAATGAATCCTCATATTTTTCCTTCCTTCCTTCCTTCCTTCCTTCCTTCCTTCCTCCCTCCCTCCCTCCCTCCCTCTCTCCTTTCTTTTCTTTTCTTTTCTGTTCTGTTCTGTTCTGTTCTTTTCTTTTCTTTTCTTTTCTTTTCCATGGGGAGTTTTCTGGTAGAAACCAGAAAACCAGCTGTACAAATTCTAAAAGAGCTGTAACACTGCAAATGAATCCTTCTTAATACACTGTGATCAGGTAGAGGAAACACAAGGTCAACATTAGCTGTGTTGCTCCTATGTTATTCACATGTTTCTGGTTAGACCAGAGAGAAGTAAGGGACAAGATAGTTTGTATTTCTGACATAATATTCTTATGTTGACTGAAACTTCTGTGGTGATGAACAACAAATAAAGAATTCATTCCAAGGCCCTCACGACTTAACTTCTCCATTAGCTTAGATCTTCTCAGTTCCTTTGGAGTAAAAGTTAAGGCTACAGGTGGGTAGCACCATTATTACATGATGCAATGGTACAAGATTTTAAAATATTAAACGTACAGTATTTCTATAGTATGAGAATGTTGGGACATTTTGATTGGCCAGAATGACATGCAGGAACTAAGCTCATGTTCCTCTCTGGAGACAGCAGAAGGCCCAGCACCCCTAGCCCTCCATACCTCTCCCACTCTGTATTCCCCAACAAGACAGTCCGAGGTGCAGATCCCTCCCATGAGGTGGTAACTCCACACACAGGATAAGCAATTCAACGCTCCTTTTCCTGAAAGAGAAAACATTCTACGTTATGAGATTGACCTTAGATTTCAACCTCTGTCTCTGTTCCGGAACACTTAGGAACACGGAATATGTCAAGTAAATTGAAGCGGAAGGGTGAATTGATTGAGGATATGAAAAAGAAAAAAGTCTCCCACACAAAGTAGAAATTATACAATTAGTTCAATCTATGTCGACTCTCAGTCTGAAAATTGAGGATTTTGGGATGACAGATATTTTATTACAGCAAGAGAAAAGATTTTCAGAGAATGAGAAATCATGTAGAAAGTTTATAAAACCTTTGTTATTCTGCTTATTGTTTAACTAGTGTGGAGGATGTTACCAGCTGTTTGGAGGACTGCAATACTCAGTGCATAAATCATGAATAGAGAGTTTCTAATTGAGAAACAGCACTAAACTTGGCACTTAAATGCTAGGGCTAAAAGGATTCAGCAGGTCATTTTGTTTGGTGGTTCTTAATTTTGGGGTGGTGTTGATGGTGCTAGATTTCTTTGACATTCTCTTGAAAGCTGTAAGTTCTCTTCTGAGAAATTTGACATCTTATTTATTTCTCTTTTTGAAAATACTGATAAATGAAAACTAAGGCCCAGACATGTAATGCCACCTATCCAGGGTTACATAGGTGGTGGTCAAGATTCAAATTCAAGTTTGTTGACTCATAATCCATTGATCTGTCTTTCTTTCTTTTTGTTTTCTTTTGTTTTTTTTTTCAGATGGGGGTCTTGCTATGTTGCCCAGGCTGATCTCAAACTCCTGGACTCAAAGGATCCCTCTTGCCTCAGCCTCCAAGTAGCTGGGATTACAGATGTGTGCAATTTCGCCTTGCTGAGGTGCTCTTTCTACCACACTATCTGCCTTAGCACATGAGCCACCAAATAGAGGAGGTCTGAATCTACAGCCTCTGTTTCCTGTGGAGACAATACTCTTTCTCCTAATTCAGACACCCCAGAAAGGACCGACCCAAACATTTCTTCTATGCAGGTATCAAGGGATAACTTCTGGAAAGTTTGGGGACAGGAGATCTAAATCTAGCTCATTCTGTTAGGAAGTCCTGGACATTTTTGCTGATCATTTTAAAATGGGAACATAAGATTAATGGGCATAGAATGTGCCTGGTATTGTAAGTTGGAACTTGATATAGGTCTTCCCATCAGAACAATCCTGTAAAGGGTGGTTTTTGAACTTGAAATAGAACCATGGATCTGTCATTTACATTCACAATGTAGTTAAATTGACATTTCATGGCTGAACTGTGAGCTCAATCATTTATAATGTTTCTGTGGAAAAATAAATTCTGAGCTCCAAACAACAGCTTAGAGAATAAACACCTTTATTACTGAACTGCTTCTTAGGTTGGAAGCTGCCTGTAGTGATATAAATTCAAAACCACTTTATTTTTATCTTAGCTCTAGCTTCATACAGAATTTCCTACATGTTCTGGAACATTATTGTGGTCTCTGATGGAAGAATCACTCTTCTCCTATTTCCATTCTTCCTTTTTCCCATTCTACATTTTTCTAAAATATAGCTTAGATGTCTTACTTCAATTTTTAACATACAAGAGACTTTTTTTTTAAATGAAGAGAAATTAAGGGTAGATACATGTTCTCACTTTAATGTGGAATCTAAAACAATTGAACTCATAGAAGTAAAGAGTAGAATGGTGGTTACCAGAGGCTGAGGGGACTGGGGAGATGATGGTCAAAGGGTATAAGGTTCTCGACAGGAAGAACATGTTTTTTGAGATCTATTATATCTCATGGTGACTATAATTAACAATAATATATTGTACTTTCAAAATTGGTAAGACAGTAAATTTCAGATGTTCTTACCACAAAAATGATTAAGTATTTGAAGTGATGGATTTTTTTTTTTTTTTTGGTGGAATCTTGCTCTGTTTCCCAGGCTAGATTGCAATGGTGCAATCATGGCTTGTTGTAATCATGGCTCACTGCAGCCTCGACCTCCTGGGCTCAGGTGATCCTCCTACCGTAGCCTTCTGAGTAGCTGGTACTACAGGCTCACACACCATACCCAGCAAATATATATTATATATTATTTATTTTTGTTTTTAGACAGAGTCTTGCTTTGTCACCCAGGCTGGAGTGCAGTGGCGCAATCTCAGCTCACTGCAAACTTTGCCTCCCAGGTTCAAGCAATTCTCCTGCCTCAGCCTCCTGAGTAGCTGGGACTATAGGTGTGCACCACCACACTTGCCTAATTTTTTTGTATTTTCAGTAGAGATGAGGTTGCACCATATTGGCTAGGCTGGTTTCAAACTCCTAACCTCAAGTGATCTGCCTGCCTTGGCCTCCCAAATTGCTGGGATTACAGGCATGAGTCACTGCACCTGGCCAAATTTTGTTTATTTTTTACAGACATGAGGTCTCACTATGTTGCCTAGGCTGGTCTCAAATTCCTGACCTCAAGTGATCCGCCCACCTTGGCCTCCCAATGTACTGGGATTACAGGTGTGAGCCACTGTACCTGGCCTGATGGACATGTTAATTAGCTTGATTTAATTATTCCACATTGTATACATATATCATGACATCCCTTCGTACCCTATAAATATATATAATTATAATTTGTCAATTTATAATAAAATAAATTAAGAGTAGAAAACACTAAAAGAGGGGGAACAGTCCATAACTAGGTTAGGTCACAAAATTGCTACCTTAAGGTTGGTTACATTTTCTTTTTTTTTTTTTCTTTTTGTTTTTGGAGACGGGGTTTTACTCTTGTTAGTAGAGACGGGGTTTCACCATGTTGGCCAGGCTGGTCTTGAACACTGACCTCAGGTGATCTGCCTGCTTTGGCCTCCCAAAGTTTACAGGCATGAGCCACCATGCCTGGCCAAGTTTGGTTACATTTTCCAGAAGACCAACAATAAATTGTCTGAGGCCCAGATCCTAGGCAATACCCAAGGGCACTATATGTCAGCTTTGGGTGACAAATCGGACTTCATTTACATCTCCTACACCGATTTATTGCAAAACTTGCACACTTAGGGTACTCAGAATCTTTAGCAAAAGGCACTTTGTTAATTTCCAGAAGGCTTTCTATTATTTTAAAGTTTAACACCCTACATCTATCATCGCTTCTAAGGTTCTGCGGGAGCTTTGGGACCTAAAAGACAGGCATTTTGTCATTTCTTTAAAACTCAGAGCAGCTCACCATCTGCTCTCCTTCAGACTGAATCCCATGGGATGAATTCAACAAATGCAGAGCAACTTCCGGGGTCTGTTCATGGGCCTCAGTCCGCACAGAAAGATGCAGCTTGGGAGAGTTAAGAGGCTTTGGTTACTCAGCCTGGATTTTGATTCCAAACCATTTTATGAGGAGAAGAAACAATAACACAAAACCAAAAAACAAACAAAAAATAAATAAAATTTTATGAGGAGGAGAAGTAAAAAGTTAGGTGTGTGAAGGCAAGAAATGAGCTAATTATGGAGGTATCAGTTACAGAGAAAGGTACATATGAAGCCTGAGTGTGCTATGTTTTCCTGCTCCACCTCTCCTTCCATGCTTTTACATATTTTTCTTTTTTAACATCTAAAATTGTTGGGCAGTCCAAAGTGAACGAAATGTAATTTAGTTGGTAATTTCTTATTTAGGTTGCTAAATTATTTTTCTGATTCTTTCATGCATCCTCATTTCTTACTATGAGAGTTAATGACTTAAAAAGGAAGGAATTCATCTTTTTTTTCTACCTAGTTTGTATCCCACGAGAAAAACCTGTCTCCAGATTTTGTATCTATATGTTGCAAAACCAGATGATAGCACAACATTTTCCTAACCAGCAAGGGACATGTGTGCTATAGTAAAGAAAGGACTGCTCATTGCAAATAATTATATTAAAAAATAACATTAAATAAAAAATAAAAATTAAAAAAAGAATGATAGCAGAAAAAATGAGCACCAAAGATAGAAAACTTCAACTGGGCAAGTTCATGGGTTGACGTCAAATACAAGAGGAAGAGGTACAAACACTCAGGACAGCTTCAAGATTTACCCACTAACTCCTAGTCATCCCTTGAATATAATCTCAAGAACACTGTGTGGATGAACTTTTGAGACTGAGAATGCCCAAAATCATCATCCTTAATTCACCCAGGAAATCTCAAACCCAACTAAAGACATGTATAGTATTTCTATACTGTAAGGGCACAGTAACCAAAATACCATGGTACTGGTACGAAAACAGACACATAGACCAATGGAAAAGAACAGAGAACCCAGAAATAATGCCACACACCGAAAAACCTGATTTTTTACAAAGTCGGCAAAAATAAACAATGGGAAAAAGAATTTTTGGTCAATAAATGGTGCCGGGATAGCTGGCTAGATACATGCAGAAGAATAAAACTGGATCCCTACCTATCACCATATAGGTGATAACTCAAGATTGATTAGATATTTAAATGATAAACAACCCCATCAAAAAGTGGGCAAAGGATATGAACAGACACTGCTCAAAAGAAGGCATTTATGCAGCCAACAGACACATGAAAAAATGCTCATCATCACTGGCCATCAGAGAAATGCAAATCAAAACCACAATGAGATACGTATTCTACACCAGTAGAATACGATCATTAAAAAGTCAGGAAACAACAGGTGCTGGAGAGGATGTGGAGAAATAGGAACACTTTTACACTGTTGATGGGACTGTAAACTAGTTAACCATTGTGGAAAACAGTGTGGTGATTCCTCAAGGATCTAGACTAGAAATACCATTTGACCCAGCCATCCCATTACTGGGGATATACCCAAAGGATTATAAATCATGCTGCTATAAAGACACATGCACACGTATGTTTATTGTGCACTATTCACAATAGCAAAGACTTGGAACCAACCAAATGCCTATCAGTGACAGACTGGATTAAGAAAATGTGGCAGTATATACACCATGGAATACTATGTGGCCATAAAAAGGATGAGTTCGTGTCCTTTGTAGGGACATGGATGCAGCTGGAAACCAATCATTCTCAGCAAACTATCACAAGAACAGAAAACCAAACACCGCATGTTCTCACTCATAGGTGGGAATTGAACAATGAGATCACTTGGACACGGGAAGAGGAACATCACACACTGGGGCCTATTGTGGGGAGGGGGGAGAGGGGAGGAATAGCATTAGGAGATATACCTAATGTAAATGATGAGTTAATGGGTGCAGCACACCAACATGGCACATGTATACATATGTAACAAACCTACACGTTGTGCACATGTACCCTAGAACTTAAAGCATTAAAAAAAAAAAAAAGTAAGACTTTGGCCAGGTGTGGTGGCCCACACGTGTCTTCCCAGCACTTTGGGAGGCCAACGTGAGCTGATCACTTCAGACCAGGAATTTGAGACCAGCCTGGCTAACATGGTGAAACCCCATCTCTATTAAAAATACAAAAATTAGCCAGGCATGGTGGCACATGCCTGTAGTCCCAGCTACTCAGGAGGCTGAGGCAGGATAATTGCTTGAACCTGAGAGGCAGAGGTTGCAGTGAGTGGAGATCATGCCACTGCACTCCAGCGTGGACAACAGAGCAAGACTCTGTCTCAAAAAACAAACCAACAAAAAATACGAAAATAAGCCACGGATGGTGGCTTGAACCTCTAGTTTCAGCTACTTGAGAGATTGAGGCATGAGTATCACTTGAACCCGGGATGTGGAAACTGCAGTGAGCTGAGATTGCATCACTGCACTTTAGCTTGGGAGACAGAACTTTAGCCTGGGCGACAGAGTGAGACTGTCTCAAAAACAAAATAAAATAAAACAGGTGGGAACAATAGACACTGGGGAATACAAGAGCAGGGAGAGAAGGAGTGGGGCAAGGGTTGAAAAACTATGAAACCCTGTCTCTACTCAAAATACACACACACACACACACACACACATACACACACACACAAATTAGCCAGGCATGGTGGTGTGTGCCTGTAATCCCACCAGGCATTTGGATTAGTAGAGTGAGGCTGGGCAATAATTTAGGGTACAATCCTCTTCTAAGTATCTGATTATCCATTAGTAATACATATGCATTAAAAATAATATTTTATAAGTTCAGGTTCTGACAGCCCATTCACTTTAAACATAATGAAATTATGAAATAAATATAAAGAGAGAAAAACAAACAACAAAAAAGATAGATGGCCTTACATAGAAAATGTAATCTCTTTGGAACATAAGGGAAATATAAATGCAAAATGGCAGTCAGGTTCTAACCATCCACCTTCTCTGCTCCAGGACTGGAAGTAGGCAGTGGTGGCTGTGAGTTCACCTTTTCTACCAAAAAAGGAACTAAAAGTGTTTTATGTAAGACCAGGGCCAAAATCCAGGCTTAGAGCTTAAATCAGGAGTCATGTTGAGACTCTGCCTTCATAGACATCAACTTCTGACAAGGGCTCTCCTGAGCTGCTAGTTGAATTGCTGATGGGATCTGTGCTGTCATCAATATCACTTCCAGAAACGCTGGAACATCTTGTTTCTGGACTGAGTTTCAGGTTGGAGACAGGAATAGTTAATGGAAAAATTTCCAGACTGTGAGAAGTAAAGATAAAAGAAGAGAGAGAGGGAGTAAAGAACCAAAACCAAAATATTTCATTTACAATGAGCTAAGACCAACATTCCAAAGTATATAAATGCTAAGAAAGATGTCAGGCCAGTGCAATGGCTCACTCCTGTAACTTCAGCACTTTGGGTGGCCAAGATCGGAGGATCGTTTGAGCCCAGGAGTTCAGGATTAGCCTGGGCAACATAGCGAGACCTCGTCTCTATAAAATAACGTTAAAAAAAAAGATGACAAACACAATCAATAATTAGAACATAAATTTACCTCAGATAATATTGATTTCATAAAAACATTTGACAAAGTCTTTAAAATTGGTGTGTTTAAGATGCTCATAAGTAAATAAAAACATAGTATCCATAAATATTTTAAATTATAAGATACAAACAAAGATCTAAAATAAAAATGGATGAGAAAAAGAAACAATTAGAAATCTTTTTTTTTGGCATGGTCTCACTCTGTCACCCAGGCTGGAGTGCAGTGGCACAATCACAGTTCACTGCTGTCTTGACATCCCTTGCTCAAGTGATCCTCCCACCTCAGCCTCCTGAGTAGCTGGGATTACTATTGTGTGCCACCACGCCTGACTAATTTTTGTATTTTTTTTCTTTTGTAGAAACAGGATTTTGCCAAGTTGCCCAGGCTAGTCTTGAACTCCTGGGCTCTAGTGTCACTCCCACCTCGGCCCTCCAAAGTGGTGTGATTACAGGTATTAGTCACTGCACCTGGCCAATTAGAACTCTCAAAAGTAAAAATATAGTCACTTAAACTGAAAACAAAAAAATAGATGGGTTGGATTTTAAACGGAGCACAGAGAACAACTCAGGGAATGAAATGGGGTGCTGAAGAATTAACCTAGTATAACTCACATAGAGTCAAAGAGGTCAAATAAAAAAGAGTAGGTAGGATACAAAGGACAGATAATAAACTCTAAATTGCATTTAATAGAAATTCCATAAAAGGAGATTGGAGAGGAGAGTGGAGAAACAATATTTGAAGATTTTTTTTTTTTTTGAGACAGTCTCGCTCTGTTGCCTGGCTGGAGTGCAATGGCGCAATCTCAGCTCACTGCAACCTCTGCCTCCAGGTTTCAAGCAATTCTCCCACCTCAGTCTCCCAAGTAGGTGAGAGTACAGGCACTTGCCACTACGCCTAGCTAATTTTTGTATTTTAGTAGAGAAGGGGTTTCACCATGTTGGTCAGGCTGGTCTTGAACTCCTGACCTCAGGTGATCCGCCCACCTCAGCCTCCCAAAGTGCTGGGATTACAGACGTGAGCCACCGCGCCTGGCTATTTGAAGATCTTATAGTTGAACACTTTTTAATTTGCAAAAAGACATTAGGAATTTGTTTCCTATACAGTCATCCATTCAGTGAACAAACGCTTAATGAAAACTTATGTTTTACACTCCAGAGTAGAAAGAAGGGATACACAATGAATGTAGTATAATCCTTGCCTTTGCTTGAGGGGCTCACAATCAGTAGGAGGGGTGGACCTGTTTAATTACAATGTGATGTAAAATTTCTATGATAAAGCAGTGTATTACAGAATTAAGAAGGAGGAAGAATACTCCTGGGAGGACTAACAAAAGCTCCACGGAGGAGATGAGATGATACTCAAGCTGAATCTTTAATAGAGGGTTCCCTAGAGCATTGAGTCAATAAAGGCATGAAAGAGCCTGGCACATTTGGTGGCTGCTGAGTGGTTCTGGGTAGTTCTAGCTTCTAGAATTTATGGAAGAAGAGTCCTTAAGGCATAAGTTAAGGGAACTGCTGGGAAAATCTGAATCATCTTTTAAATATAAAAACATTTATTGGCCAGGTGCAGTGGCTCACACCGGTAATCCCAGCACTTTGGGAGGTCAAGGCGGGCGGATCATGATGTCAGGAATTCGAGACCAGCCTGACCAACATAGTGAAACCCCGTCTCTACTAAAAATACAAAAATTAGCCGGGCATGGTGGTGTGAGTCTGTAATCCCAGCTACTCAGGAGGCTGAGGCAGGAGAATCGCTTGATCCTGGGAGGCAGAGGTTGCAGTGAGCTGAGATCATGCCACTGCACTCCAGCCTGGGCGACAGAGCGATACTCCATCTCAAAAAACAAACAAACAAACAAACAAAAAAACACTTATTAAAACTTTACTGAAGTGTAATAAGTAAATGCATAGAATGGAGAGATATACCACATTCATAAATATAACTCAGGATTGTAAAGATGGGGTTTTCTCCAAAATAAATTCAATGCAATGCCACTCAATATCAAAATACTTTTTAAAAATGAAAGATTTTTAAAAAATGAAACTTGACTGATTACGTATTTACGTAAAAGAACTAAGCATAGCCAAGATAATTTTGAAAAGCACAGGTATGTATCCTACCAGCTAATAATATTTTTTGTAGAAAGTTTTAACAATTAAAATATAGAAGTATTTCTTTCTTAAATATTGAGAAGTGTTCATGGTGATCACATATTTATGGCAAGGTGTAGAGAAAAATGAGAAATTTGAATTTTAGGGCACTCACTCTGGCATTAGTATACCAGATGACCTGGTGTGGGGGCAAGATTCAGAGTTGGGGTGACCTGCTGGCTGCTTCAAAAGGTGTGATACTAGATACTAAAAATGGAAGATGAGGGTAGTGAGAGTGGAAAAAGATCTCATTAGATAACTATTTGGGAAAGAGAATCAACAGATCTTGAAGTTTAGCTTTGTTGGAGGTGGGTGGGTTGGGCAGGTGACAAGGGAAGAAGAGTCGAGGAGAACTTCAAAGTATCAGCCTGGGCTCCTGGGTAGATGGTGAGCCTTAATGATCTCCTGGACAGACAACCAAGTTTCTGTAAAAGAGGTATGGAACTTATGAGAATTTGAGGCAGAAGTCTCAGGGAATAGTGCAAGCAATGAAAATAAACAAATCCCCCCAGACAGATTCTTCAGGTAGAATAGGAAAATGATGAGTGGACGAACAGTGCTTCCTCAAGGAGATGATGCCTGTCTCTGGGCCTTGAAGGATGGGGGATGGGCAGGAACAGCCCAGGTTAGACGGAAGAGGCAGAAGTTAAGAGCAAACAGAGGGCGCTGATGCTGGAGAGGATCATACACGAGGTGGGGAAGCAAGAGGAATCTCCCAGGTGGTGAGAAGAGAGAAAGGGGCAAAGAAGGAAGAGAACCTTTTCATTTTTCTACGCACACATGCAAAATGACAGACTCTCACCTTTGCATTGATCACAAGTCGGATGGCATCTCTCACAGGTCTGTGTGCTTTGCTCTACATAGTAATGGTCTGGGCAGGAGGGATGACACTCTCCTTTGGAGCGGAGCAGAAAGAAAAATCTATCGCAAGACAGGCAGTCTGTGGGCCGTGGGCCCCGGCACCCCTTGCAGATCCTGTGGCACCTCTCACACCGGCCGGTGGAGTTGTCTGCGTAATACCTGAAACCGAGGGAGAAGAAACGATGGAATACTAAGCTTTGCTCCTAAATTGGGTGCAGTGGAAAAACGTGGTAGTCAGGTTTCATTTACAAGCTGGGTGACTTTAGCCTTTTTACCTTACTCATTAGATTCATTGCTAATAACACTAATGAATCCAATGATTCCCAGTGTTCTTACCTGTAAATTGGGCCAATCCCTCCCCTATTATTTGTGAAAGTTAAACTGGGTAACTAACACATATGAAAAGACCTAGTGCTTATCACATCTAGTAGCATCTCCATTGTTGCTAGCTACCATTGCCTTTTTCTACCATGTGCCTCTCCAAATTCATGCTTTAAGTTGTGGTTAATGGCTGGCATCAGAGAATGGAAGGATTAAAAAAAATTTTTTTTTTTTAAATAGTGATGAGTGTCTCACTATGTTGGCCTGGCCATTCAGAGGTACATTTAAAAAATCCATCCAGGCTGGGTGCAGTGGCTCACACCTGTAATTATAGCACTTTGGGAGGCCAACATGGTTGGATCACTTGAGGTCAGAAGTTTGAGACCAGCCTGGCCAACATGGTGAAACCCTGTCTCTACTAAAAATACAAAAATTATCCAGATGTGGTAGCATGTGCCTGTAATCCCCGCTACTTGGGAGGTTGATGCAGGAGAATCATTTGAACCTGGGCGGTGGAGATTGCAGTGAGCTGAGATCATGCCACTGCACTCCAGCCTAGGCGATAATGTAAGACTCCATCTCAAAAAAAGAGATCCATCTGGCCAGGCACAGTGGCTCACACCTGTAATCCCAGCACTTTGGGAGGCCAAGATGAGAGGATGGCTTGAGGTTAGGAGTTTGAGACCAGCCTGGTCAATCAACATGGTGAAACCTCATCTCTACTACAAATACAAACAAACAAACAAAAATAGCCAGATGTGGTGTGTAGTCCCAGCTGCTTGGGTGGCTGATGCATGAGAATCGTTTGAACACAGGAGAGTGAGCTGAGAGCACCTCACTGCACTCTAGTCTGGGTGACAGAGTGAGACTGTCATAAATAAAATAAAATAAAAGATAATATAAATAAAATAAACGTATCTCTGAATTATTCTTCTGTCAACTAAAAAACAGATTTTGAAATAGGAGGTGACAAGTGTGATATTGACATTTACATAACAGATATAACCTTGTTTGAAAAGATTTTTGGAGGTTAAATATAACAACTATAACCACTATTCATTAAGTTTCTACTAATATGCCTGATAGTATTCCAGGGACTTCATAAACATTATTTCACCTTGTTGAACCTGCAAATGAGACCCTAGAGTGTGGAAGTTACCACTTGCCCTCGGGAACAAGACTAGTTTTAAATCCCAGCCATACCACTTACAAGCTGTGTGACCTTGGGCCAGTCACTCAACATCTCTGTGCCTCAGGTTTCTCATCTATAAGATGGGGCTAATGTTAGTACCTACAATTAAACATGTGATTACTGAGAAAGGGGTGGGGACCATGATGGGCACTTTATAAATAATTAATGTACATTAGTGATAATTATAAATTGTGTGATTTATCCTCATAGCAAATCTTATGATTTAGGTATTACTATCCTTATTTTACAGAAGCAAACATTGAGGCTTAGAGAATTTAGACAACTTGCTTAAAGTCAGTTAGTGAAGTGGGACAATATGATTTGAGCTTAACTGTTAAACGCTGTAACAAAATAGTTCATTAATTGAAGGTAAACAAAGGGTTGCAAGCAAGACAGAAGAGGGTAACAAAATTCTTGCTAAGGATGAGCTTCTAAAGGTCATCGGATTCATCTCTGTATCTCTAGACATCAGCACCACTAAACCTATCCTAGAAACCTAAAGGTTTATCTTTGTTTTCTCTGGTGCAACACTACAGGTCCCAATAGGCTTTTTTTGTAGACTGATTCAGCTCCGTGAACTTGCTGAGAACTCACACCATGCCTAGGTTATGCTGAGCCTTGCTCTATTTAGCCACCCGTCACTGATCTGAGGGAGCACATTGGAACCTCAGTGGCCCGGCTTGTGGTAACTGGAGACCTGCTTCGCTTTCTGCAGTTATGTGAAGAACAATGACTACTATGTGTCAATCTGGAAGACTGAGGTATCTGAGAGACAAAGCGATGATGAGCTGAATGGCTGACAAAGCCCACATAAGACTCAAGAAAAGAAACCATCAGAGAAAAGTGAAATCTACACAGAGCAGAGGGAATACACAGGATTAGAGTCAGAAGATTGAATTTTTACTCCTGGCTCCGCCATGTATTAGTAGCTCCATGACTTTAGGCAAGTCACTTAACCCCTCTGAGCCTCAGTTTCTTCATCTGTAAAATGGAGAGACTAAAAGCAACCTCATGAGATTGTTGTAGAATCAAATCATAATATAAAGATACATTGTGAGTGGAAATACTTTGTAACTCTTAAGCAGCATACGAAAGTTTTTTTTTACCTAATGTTTTTATTGTAGATTGTTATAAAGATGAAAATCATCAGTAGGAACTGTGGGAAAGAAAGCTTATCAATTTTAAGTAGGTTTTTAAAATTATCAAGGAGGAATGCTAAAAGAGACAACAAAGAGTTAGAGTTTATTGGACCAGATTAAAAGAGTACAACACCACTGCTTGCTTTGAGGACTCATCAGTTTCCCAGCTTCGAAGAGTATAAGCACAAGCAGTAACCTAGGCTTTAAAGAAACTTCTCTGAGTTAAACACCAAAATAATTATGTGGGTTGGGATAGGGTGCAGAGAAGTATATATCTACTTTTCCAAGGCAGAGATTTAACATACGAGGCTTATGCCAAGCATGTGGAACACTGATTTTACTAAAGGAAGAGTTCTCCTCTTATACCTCATGAATATTCAATTTCTTCTTTATTAAAGGGATCTATGGCAACCTGTGCCTCCCCTCACCAGCCCTGGGTTCACACACTGTGGAACAACTGTCTTCTTAATTCCGTGGTCTGCATTCTACCTAGATGACAGGATGATTAAGCACCCTTTTTGTGCTTGACAGTATTTACTGACTTGATTTGAGGAAGATAGGCTCCAGATCTTTTCAGACACTTACTAGGGTGATGCAGAAGGGCTAAGCCAGGTAGCTTCATCCCTGGTTTTTTTTTTTTTTGACAGAGTCTTTTTCTCTTGCCCAGGCTGGAGTGCAGTGGTACGATCTTGGCTCACTGAAACATTTGCCTCCAGGTTTAAGCAATTCTCATGCCTCAGATTCCCGAGTAGCTGGGATCACAGGCGCCTGCCAACACACCCTGCTAATTTTTGTATTGTTAGTAGAGACAGGGTCTCATCATGTTGGCAAGGCTGGTCTTGAACTCCTGGCCTCAAGTGATCTGCCTACCTCAGCCCCGGAAAGTGCTGGAATTACAGGCATGAGCCACCATGCCTGTCTATCCATCTCTGTTCTTAATCTGGCAGGGCCCTTTCTTCCTTGATCTATATGGCTGGTATTTTTCTTTCTGAGACAGAGTCTTGCTCTGTCACCCAGGCTTGAGTGCAGTGGTATGATCTTGGCTCACTGCAACCTCCTCCTCCTGGGTTCAAGCAATTCTCCTGCCTCAGCCACCCAAGTAGCTGGGATTACAGGCACATGCCACCATGCCTGGCTAGTTTTTGTATTTTTAGTAGAGATGGGGTTTCACCCTGTTGGCCAGGCTGGTCTTGAACTCCTAACCTTGTGATCTGCCCACCTTGGCCTCCCAAAGTGCTGGGATTATAGGCGTGAGCCACCATGCCCGGCCTGGCTGGTGTTTGTCAAGAGCTGCTAATGTGTGGCTCTGTGCTGAGTGTTGTAGAAGCAGATGTAAGACATAAGAAGTGTTTTTCTTCCATGAGTTTATGATTTTCTTGGGAAGAGGCATATAAAAATAAGAATAAACTCTTAAAGTCAGTGATATGGTTTGGCTCTGTGTCCAAATCTCAGCTTGAATTGTACTCCCATAATTCCCATGTGTTGTGGGAGGGACCCAGTGGGAGATGGCTGGATTGTGGGGGCAGTTTCCCACATGCTGTTATTGTGGTTGTGAATAAGTCTTACGAGATCTGATGGTTTGATAAGGAGAAACCAGTTTCACCTGGCTCTCATTCTCTCTCTTTGCCTGCTGCTATCCACATAAGATGTGACTTGCTCCTACTTGCCTTCCGCCATGATTGTGAGGCCTCCCCATCCACGTGGAACTGTAAGTTGAATTAAACCTCTTCCGTTTATAAATTGCCCGGTCTTGGGTATGTCTTTATCAGCCGCGTGAAAACAAACTAACATGGTCAGTCTTTCTCTTACTCATCTTATTTATATATAAAAAGTGCTCGTCATGAGACATGTTAAATAAATAAGTGAATGAATGAGATAAATCAAAATGCAAGGCAGCATATAGCACTGAAATGAATGAAACAAGCAGTAACTGCTATAGGACTGAAGAGACGTTTCAATTTGGGTGAAAGCATTTGAGGAAGGTCTAAGGTCACAGCCCTTGATTTGGGTCTGGAAACTCCCAGTGCTCTAGGTTATTGATTGGGTAGAAAGAGTCAGCAACAGGCCTATCATCAATCTTTTACTCTTTACTGGGGATGCCCAGGGGGAAAAAAAGGATATCCTGGCAATCAGACCTTTGGATAACACTAACAGTTCTTCCTGGCAGAAAAATAATAGAGTCCTTATCCGTGAAATGCTTTTAGAGGGATACATCAAGTGTGTGTCTAGGTTGTTTATGATAACAAGACCTGTAATTTGTGGATTTATGGGGGACATGACAGGCTGGGGAATTAATGGGGAATAAATGGAGATGTTAATGGAGCTATTTCCTTTGTAAATCAATGTTCCGCATGCACTGCTCTCCTCACATAAGCAGGTTGGGAGAACGTGAGACCCTGAATTTTAAATCTGAATCAGAACAAGTCCTGAAGCCAAAGAAATAGAACCTCCATCAATGGTCTTGGGCTTCTCTAAGGAAAGGATGCTTTGCTTCTGCCTTGTGATTACTGAGACCCTTTGCCAAATTGTTTTAATTTTTAGAAACAAGGTCTTGCTCTGTCACTGAGACTGGAGTGCCGTGGGGCAATCATAGCTTACTGCAGCCTCCAGCTCCTGGGCTCAAGTGATCATGCCCCGCCTCAGCTTTCATAGAAGCTGGGACTATAGCCTCATGGCACCACGCCCAGCTAATCTTATCTTAATATTTTACAGACGGGGTCTCACTGTGTTGCCCAGGCTGGTTCAAACTCCTTGCCTTAAGTGATCCTCCAGCCTCAACCTCCCATGTCGTTGGGATTACAGACATGAGCCACAGTGCCCAGCTGCCAATATGCTTTGAATCATCAGTGAGGACTGTTGCTGAGGAAGATCAATTGCTCAGGTGAGTCTGGCTCGACAATCTGACCCTTTGTGGTAACTCATGGGATCACAAGAGTAACAGCCTCTCCTGTTTCTCTTCTGTTATTGTGAATTGGTTCATCTTTGCTCCTTACTAGCACTGAGACTTCAACCTGGTTTTATAAGTGTTCTGAATCTTAGTTTCCTCCTTTGTAAAATGGGTTGATATCTGGTGTGACTGTGGAATTACATGGGGCGAGGGGGAAATGTATTGAGCACTTACCCTTCCCTGCACTGGAGCAGGCACTCTTTTCCCAGCTGGAACCAGCCTGGTCGGCAGGAGTGGCACTGCCTGCTGTGTCTCCCTTCACATGTCCTGCAAGAGCTGTGGCAGCGGGCACACTGGTGGCTGTCCTCATCAGCATAATAGCCCTCTGGGCAGTCCTTCACACAGGTTGTGTCTGTCGTGGGAGGAAAAATGTCTGTTTGGACATTGAGCATGACACATGTCTCCCCCGTGTTCTCCCTCCTGTGTACCATGGTGGGAGGGAGGAGAGGGCTGCAGGAAGAATGGGACGATGTCCCTGTGAGCTGATGGATATGTTTGGGAACTAAGATGAGTGTCCAAGAAACAGAATCACCCTAAGGCCATGAGGCATACAAGGAAAACAGAAGTCGGTGATGTGGTTTTGCTCTGTGTCCCACCTATATCTCATCAGTGATCCCATCTCAACTCATCAGAGATCCAAATCTCATCTGTGTCCCACCCAAATCTCTCAGTGGATTAGTCGTGGTGGGTAGAACAGAAACTACGGTCTGGCAACTGTGGATGTTGGCAATGACTCATAGTCCAGCTCATGTATCTGGTTAACTAGGGGAAGTCCTAGCTTCCTAAAGAAAAAACATCTCTGTATTAGTCTCTTATTGCTGTTCTTACCAGGTATTCCCAACTTGGGGGCTTGAAACAACAATTTATTATCTTACTGTTCTGGAGGTCAGAAGTCCAAAATAGATCCACAGGGCTCTGTTCCTTTTAGAGGCTCTAGGAGGGAATCTGTTTCCTTTCCTTTTCCACCTGCTAAAGTCCACGTGCATGCCTTGGCTCATGGCCCCTTCCTCCGTCTTCAAAGGCAGCAGTGCAGTAGCTTCTCTCTGTCCCTCTGCTTCTGATCACGTCACCTTCTACTGCTGACTCTGATCCCCTGGCATCTCTCTTATCAGACCCTTGTGATGGCATTGGGTCTACGTGGATAATGCAGGATAATCTCTCTACGCTGAGATCCTTAATTAAATCACAGCCCCAAAGTCCCTTTTACCAAATAGAGTAATACATTTACAGGATCTGGGGATTAGGATGTGACATCTTCAGGGGGGCCATTATTCAGTCTAGCCTAATGTCCAAAAAAAGTATCGAATTTATAAATAGCCTGACCTTGGTGGTGTGGTGGTGTGGGACAGGGTGGAGAGAATGTGAGGAGACCAGGCTGAGCAAATCTGCACCCACCCCCAGGGAGACTACACCTCTGTGTCCTACACCAGCGCTGAAGCCTCAGCTCTAGTCTGATCTGCAGCCCCGGATGAGGGGAAGGCCACTTTGTGGAGGCAAGGTGTCTTCTCTGTATGAGGCATCTGAGATGATTACTGGTGGCACTCTAGATTGGAGGTAAGTAGAAAAGAAGGTTTTGGGAATCTTCCCATGGGATTACGTGGAAGACGTGGCTGGAGGGAATGCTTTTATGAAGTAGCAGCTGCTGGGAAGGAGAGTCACAGAGATTTGTGGGCCAGGAGCTAAGGTAGATGGATAGAGAAGACTGGTCTCTATGAGTGTTTTCTATTGTGAAGGGATCAGGAATGGTATTGAGAATAGGCCTCCCTGTGTCTTAGCAGGGGGATGGTGTCCTCCCTCAATATGAAGAGGAGAAACTTGCCGCACATGTCTTTAAAACATTTTTCTTTTATTAATGTTTAAACTTTTAAAATTTAAAATTTTTATTTTTATTTTCCATTTTTTGTAGAGATGAAGTCTCACTATGTTGCCTAGACTGGCCTTGAACTCCTGGACTCAAGCAATCCTCCTGCCTTGACCTCCCAAAGTGCTGGGATTACAGGCGTGAGCCACTGCGCCCAGCCCACCACACGTGTCTATTTGGAGTTTCACGCTTCTCAGGTCTACTGTCCTGGTGGGGGAGAAAAGTGCTCATACTTCCTGGTCTTCACCATATTCATATCTCCCTTCTGTCTCCTATGGCTTCTTTTTTAGTTAAGTTTTGTTTCATTTTCATTCTCCTATGCTTGTTTTAAGCCTAGTCACAGTATCCCTGGAAACCTGAGGAGATTGCTTCATATTAGCAATAACCTTCAAACTGGATCTGTGGGACGTGGCCAGCGTTGACCTGTGCCACATTTTCCTCAAGATTTACTAATCAACTATGCTAAATGGATGGGAAATTTTGACGAGGAGGTGAATATCTACATGTTCTTAAAGTGTAACTCCACAGGCTATTTATTAGTTACAAGGGAATAAATAGTAATTATGCAGTAGAGAAACTGAACATCTTGGCCAGGTGATCAACATTAATATCACCGAGGAGAGGCAGGTGGAGATCACGTTTCTCCAGATGTGACTCTTGGAGGATACAACATCACTTCTGAAGTATGCTGGCCGAGCACGCACCCTGCAACTCAGCACGGACAACTTCACACTCACCCAAAAGGAAAAATGGAGACTGTATTTTTCTTTTCTCTTTTTTTTTTTGAGATGGAGTCTTGCTTTGTCACCCAGGCTGGAGTGTAGTGGCGTGATCTCGGCTCACTGCAACCTCTGCCTCCTGGGTTCAAGCGATTCTCCTGCCTTAGCCTCCGGAGTAGCTGGGACTACAGGTGCCTGCCACCACGCCCGGCTAAATTTTGTATTTTTAGTAGAGACAGGGTTTCACCATGTTGGTCAGGCTGGTCTTGAACTCCTGACCTCATGATCTGCCTGCCTTGGCCTCCCAAAGTGCTGGGATTACAGGAGTGAGCCACTGCACCTGGCCAAGACTGTATTTTTCTAAAGCGTTGATATTGTAAAAGAAAAAGAAAGTCTGTGGAAACATTCCAGATGAAAGGAGGCTAAAGGGACATGGAAGGGCCTGGCATAGTGGTTCATGCCTGTAATCCCAGCACTTTGGGAGGTTGAGGCAGGAGAATAGCTAGAGCCCAGGAATTCGAGACCAGCTTGGGGAACACAGTGAGACCCTTGTCTCTAAAAGGAAAAAAAAAAAAATTAGCTGGACATGACATGGAAGGACCAGGCATGGTGGCTCATGTCTGTGATCCCATCCCATCTACTTGGGAGACTGAGGCAGGAGGATCTCTTTTTTTTTTTTTTTTTTTTGAGACGGAGTCTTGCTCTGTCACCTAGGCTGAGTGCAGTGGCGCAAAATTGGCTCACTGCAAGCTCCGCCTCGCAGGTTCACACCATTCTTCTGCCTCAGCCTTCCGAGTGGCTGGGACTACCACGCCCAGCTAATTTTTTTGTATTTTTTTTTTTTAGTAGAGACGGGGTTTCATCGTGTTACCCAGGATGGTCTTGATCTCCTGACCTCGTGATCTGCCCGCCTTGGCCTCCCAAAGTGCAGGAGGATCTCTTGAGCCCAGGAGTTCAAGGCTGCAGTGAGCCATGATCATGCCACTGCACTCCAGCAGCCTGGGTACTGCGCCTGGCCACCTTGTCTCTTAAAACAAAAAACAAAAACAAACAAACAAAAATGTGGCTGGGCGTGGTGGCTCACACCTGTAATCCCAGCACTTTGGGAGGCTGAGGAGCGTAGACTGCTTGAGGCCAGGAGTTCAAGACCAGTCTGGCCAACATGGTGAAGCCCCATCTCTACCAAAAACACGGGGAAAAAAAAAAAATTAGCCAGGCGCGGTGGTGCCCATTTGTGATCCCAGCTACTCAGGAGACTGAGGCATGAGAATTGCTTGAACCCAAGAGTCAGAGGTTGCAGTGAGCCAAGATCATACCACTGTACTCCACTCTGAGCAACAGAGTGAGACTCCTTCCCAACAAACAACAAACAAACAAACAAAACGGGACATGGAAGCTACATGAAACAATGGACTCTAGACTGAATCCTAAAAGGGCATTGAGAAAATTTTAATGTGGATAGTATATTAAAGTATCGTATGAAGGTACAATTTATTAGAGTTGATAACTATCCTGTGGTTATATAAGAAACTATCACTAATCTGAGGAAATATTTATGGGAAAGGGGCCATGATGTATGCCTTCAAATGGCTTCAAAAAATATATATTTGGAATGATGTACATGTATACATTGAGAGAGTGAGAGAGAGAGAACGAGCGAGAAGGGGAGAGAGCCCGCAAACAAATGATAAAGCAAATGGGGTAGAAGATGAGCAATTTGCGAACTGGATGAAGCACATCCGTGTGCTGTTCTTTGTACAGTTCTTACTCTTGCATCTTTTCTGTAGGTTGGAACATTTCCCAAACACAAAGCAAAAAATCAAAAAGAAAGAAGCCAGTATCTACCAGACAAGGCAGTGTGCAAGGCAGTTTCCCAGAGGGAGGGAAACACAAAGCCCTCCTAGGAGGAGAAGTAACTCACTGAGAAGGAGGCTGACCCCGGGGCATGTTTGACACTGGTCCTCCGCCGGCCCCGTGCAGTGGAAGCACTTAGTGTGGCAGGGCTTGCACCCGGGAGCATCCTCATCCCAGTACTCGGAGGGGGCACATTTCTTGTTGGCCAGGCAGCTCCCATGAGGGTACATCCTCAGGCCTTTCTGACAGGCGGTGCAGGTCCCAGACGATGAGCAGGTCAAGCAGGACTTGTGACAATCTGTGGGCATGGAGGGGCAGCAGACAGAGTGAGTGAGAGCCAGGATGGCCTTCGGGGGAATGGGCTTCCCCTGGGAAAGGGTGTTCACATTCCTTCCACATTTCTTCCGGAGATTTCCAGAGCTCTGGGCCAAGGGTGTGCGACTATGAGTTGGGTACAGCCCTTGAGCTCTGGGGTGGACCATTCTTTTGCAAAATGAGAGGCAAGTATTATTTTATTTTCTGTTGTATCCAGGGAGTGCCTTCCTGCAACGGCCACCTCAGAAATATTAGTAAGGCTCACTATAATTACCCAAACTGCAACAAAATAATAACAAGCCATTCTGTAACAGCACCGAATTTTCCACCATCACATCTACTGTTATGGTCCTCCAGTCACCTCCGGAGTACCTTGAACTTACCGCCAATACAGCAATTGTTGGAATGTATTTAATTGTCTGTTGACAAATGAAGGTCCTTTTTGCATTTATTTTTGAATACATAGTGCCTATGAGAGAGCCTGGCATGTAACAGGAATTGATAATTATTTGTTAGAAAAAGAAAATGACAATTCTCTTCCACCTCTAGGTTTTCTTTTTCTGTATTTAAATAGAGATGGGGGCTGGGTGCAGTGGCTTACGCCTGTAATCCTGGCACTTTGGGAGGCCAAGATGGGTGGATTGCTTGAGCCCAGGAGTTCAAGACCATCCTCAGCAACATGGCAAAACACTGTCTCTAGAAAAAACACAAAAATTAGCTGGGCATGGTGGCGGGCACCTGTAGTCCCAGCTACTCAGGAGGCTAAGGTGGAAGGATCTCCTGAACCCAGGAGGTCAAGGCTGAAGTGAGCTGTGATCACACCACTGCACTCAAGCCTGGGTGACAGAGCAAGACCCTGTCTCAGGAAAAAAAAAAAAAAAAATAGAGATGGGCCTTCACTTTACTGCCTAAGCTGGTCTTGAACTCCTGGCCTCAAGTGAGTTTTCTGCCTTGGCCTCCCAAAGGGCTGGGATTACAGGCATGAGCCACTGCACCAGGCCGACCATCTCTGGGATTTAGTAGTTGCTGTTCTCTCTGCCTAGAATTCTCTTCTCCCAGATGCATGCATGGTTTGCTTCCTCCCTTTCTCTATGAAATCTAAGACATCTCTCAAGTTTTATCTCCATTCTGCCTATCTTCCTGTCCTGCCCCTCTGCCTTACTTTTGCTCTTGGCTTATGGTCTTTAGTACCTGTCTTCCCTAATAGAATGTGAGCTCCATGAGGGCAGGGACTCTGTCTCACTCCCTGCTGTTCCCCAGGCCTGAAAGAGCACACGGCACATAGCGGGCCCTCCTGTAAGCATTCCCTGGGTGGATGCGTGCATGGTATTATTATTGCTTATATTATCCTCTCATTTTATCTAAATCAGGAAATTGAGGCTGGAGATGCTAAGTCACTCATGCTAAGTAGTATCAGGAGTTGAGCCCAGGACCTCAGCAACTGCCTGTCTGCTTCTGCCCCAGTGCCTCAGGAAAGGTATGGGACTTTTGGAGGTGTCTGTACTATCTATTAGGGGATAATCTGCGTGATTGGAATGGATCTAAAGTCCTTGTGTTTCTTACAGAAGATCCTGCTTACAGATTTTTTTTTTTTTTTCCTATAGGTTCTTGCTCCATCACCCAGGCTAGAGTGCAGTGATGTGATCATGGCTCACTGAAACATTGACCTCCCAGGCTAAAGTGATGATGTCCCCGTCTCAGCCTCTCGAGTAGCTGGGACTACAGGCACACACCACCACATCTGGCTAATTTTTGTATTATTATTTTTGTTTTAGAAATAGGGTCTTGCTATGTTGCCCAGGCTGGTCTCAGATTCCTCCCGCCTTGGCCTCCCAAAGAGATGACAGATGCGAGCCACTGTGCCCAGCTGAGATTGCTCCATTCTAAATGCTTCTCTACATTTCCCTGAATCTTAATTTTCAGATCAGGTTCTTTGTGTTATCTCTCTGGAAAGTCAGGTTGTCACTGTGTTTCTTCTAATACTACATTCCTTCCCATCCCTTTGGTCTGGTAGAAAGTGCAATGGCGGCCGGGTGCGGTGGCTCACACCTGTAATCCCACCACTTTGGGAGGCCGAGGCGGGTGAATCACCTAAGGTCGGGAGTTCGAGACCACCCTGACTAACATGGAGAAACCCCCTCTCTACTAAAAATACAAAATTAGCTGGGCGTGGTGGCACATGCCTGTAATTCCAGCTACTTGGGAGGCTGAGGCAGGAGAATCACTTGAACCAGGGAGGCAGAGGTTGCAGTGAGTTGAGATCGTACCATTGCACTCCAGCCTGGGCAACTAGAGTGAAACTCCATCTCAAAAAAAAAAAAAAAAAAAAAAAGAAAAAGAAAGAAAGTTCAATGGCATTGTAGGGAGATGCCTCAAGTGAGTTTTCAACTCTGTCCTCACCAGGTGCTTACCTTCTCAAAGCATCTATTTGCTTCTCAGAAAAATGGAGAAAATTGCCATTTACCTCATTGGCTCTCAACCCACACTAAGCATCAGAATTACTGGCGGTGGGAGAAGGAATTACAACGTTGGGTGCAGGCATCTGTGGTTGTTAGAGCTGCCCAGGTGATTCTAATGGGCAGCCAGGGTCCTTTCTCAAGGAGATAATTAAATCAGATAAATTAAGAAAACATGCTCTGAGACCTGTAAAACTCTCTGTATGGTAAATTACTTTCATTTTTCAACACCAGAGAAAGGCCAGAAGTTGAACTTCAGTTCCTGCCCTCGCACAGGCAAGATGGCGCTGAAGGCCTGCGGCTGAGTCTCCCACCTCCCAGAAGCCGTCCCCAGCTCCACAGCCTGCCTCCTACATGAACGCCCACCTCTTCTGCCTGCGGGCACAGCCTGGACATCCATGCTTTTTCGCATATGGGCAGGTAGGACATTAACACTAAATAGTGCTTTACATAAAACACACAAAAAGGCATATCCACATCACAAGGCCGGAGCAGAAAGCCTTCAGGACGGAGACACATCTTCATGTCCTACCAAAAACCTTCCCCTGAGTATGTCCTAGGGCGTGGGTGTCCCAGGGTTTCTCAGTGGAAAGTCATTCTCAGACTCTCGCGGTTGTTAGGGGAACTGCCTCTGGACATCTATCTCGTGTTTGCTTGGGGGCAACATAGTGGGGGTGAAGCACCGCAGGCTGCCTCATCGGAGTGAATCCTGGGGCTCTAGAAAAGCCCCCTGGCCCACAACATTTCTCTCACTTGCTAGAGAATTCTAGAGTGCATCACTTATTTTATTTTTCTGTTCCTTGATAATGAATAAGAGGCAAATTATTCATGCCGAGCTAAAACATAAGGAGGTATAAATGATAGCAGAGCCTTTCTTGAACATGTAGGGACTGAGTGGGAGTGGAAATGGGGACCGTGGAGCAGGAATTGAAAGATATGAAGAGGAGGGTGGGGAGCTTCCAGGGAGCAAACCATGAAGGGAGGCTGGGCGCAGTGGCACACGCCTGTAATCCCAGCACTTTGGGAGGCCGGGGTGAGGTTAGGCATTCGAGACCAGCCTGGCCAACATGGTGAAACCCTGTCTCTACTAAAAATACAAAAATTAGCTGGGTGTGGTGGCGGGTGCCTGTAATCCCAGCTACTCAGGAGGCTGAGGCAGGGGAACCACTTGAACCCGGGAGGTGGAGGCTGCAGTGAGCTGAGATCATGCCACTGCACTCCAGCCTGGGCAACAGAGCGAGACTCCATCTCAAGAACAACAACAACAAAACATGGGCCTAGTGCTGTGGCTCATGCTTGTAATCCCAGCACTTTGGAAGGGCGAGGCAGGAGGATCACTTGAGGTCAGGAGGTTGAGACCAGCCTGGCCAACATGGTGAAACCCTGTCTCTACTAAAAATACAAACATTAGCAGGGTATGATGGCGCATGCCTGTAGTCCTAGTTATTCAGGAACCTCAGGCAGGCGAATCGCTTGAACCCAGGAGGCAGAGATTGTAGTGAGCTGAGATCGTGCCACCACATTCCAGCCGACAGAGTGAGACTCTGTCTCAAAAAAAAAAAAAAAAAAAAATTTCACCCATGAAGGGAGACAAGAGGCACCAAGAAAGTTTTTTTTGCTTGTGCTATAAACTTTTAATGGCTTAACATTTCAAGAAAAGTCTCGGGTAACTTTTGAAGGCTCCTTCTCTCTGCTGTAAATCTTTATATGAGAACTTTTTTTGACCAGCAGTTCATAGCCACTATTGTGAGGAAGGTCCATGTGATTGGTCACTAATAAAAGTTACCTGTACAAAGCTTATGAGCGATTCATCTAAAAATTATTTACAACCGATTCAAAATATGTCTCCTTGAGTGAGAGGGTAAGAGGGTAAGTGAGAGGATGAGACAGGCTGGACATGGTGGCTCACACCTGTCATCCCAGCACTTTGGGAGGCCAAGGCAGAGGATTGCTTGAAACCAGGAGTTCAAGACTAGCCTGGGCAACATTCTGAGACCTCGTCTCTATGTTCCCAGCAACTCTGGAGGCTGAAGTGGGAGGATCACTTGAGCCCAGGAGGCAGAGGCTTCAGTGAGCCATGTTTATGCCACTGAACTCGAGCCTGGGAGACAGAGGGAGACCTTGTCTCAAAAAAAAAAAAAAAAAAAAAAAGATGACAGCTCTGGGGCTGGGGCTGGGGCTGGGGCTGCGGCTGGAACTGGAACTGCAAACCCCGGAGCCTACTTTGAATCCCAGAAGTCTTTACCTCTGCACTCGTTAGTCTCTTTTTCATAATAGGTTCCTGCTGGACACTCCTCCAAGCACAGCCCATCATAGAGGACCCAGGAACTCTCACGACAGAGCTCGCAGTCGTCAACTTTGGGGCCACTGCACTCCAGACAGTCTTTATGGCAGGGGACACAGTGGCGCGAGTCTGAGTAGAAGCCACGGGGACAGGACTGGTGGCACATATCATCATGCAGGAAGAACTCAGGCATGCACTCTGGGGAAAGGAGGAAGCAGCAAGTTATCCCCGGGGGACAGGAGAAAGGAATCCACTGTCTACAGTGGGCTAGCTCCTCCCTCAGCACTTTGGTTGATTTGACCTGAGAGTACCCTAGCCCTTTCCCCATCCTACCAGGGCAGAGACTTGATGTCTAACAAGCCCTGCCTTGGGAGGAGGAGGCCACACATGTGACCATATTAGATGGTGCTGGACTTACGCACTGAAATGGTCTGCCCTTTGGAGGTGCAAAAAATTGCAACGCTGCAAAAGACAAGGATGGCTGAGAGGCTGGCGGTATTGTTTGAAAACCCTGAAGAGCATTAACAGATTCAAAAAATTGTATCGGGAACTTCACACTCTGTTCGATACAGAAAGCAGTTTAGGAATGGTTGGATTAGTTAACTTTTCATTCATTGATCAGGTACCACAATGAATAAAGGATTGATCAGTGTGAAGAATACATTGCGGGTTTATTTTATTTGTGTTCATTTTCTTACTTTGGGGGGAATCCTGGAAAACACTTGAGGTCACACCGAGAGAATACTTTGGATAGGACAGCACCAGTTAAATGAGTCTGTCTTATTCTGGAGAGAAAACTGAACAGCTTTTTTTGGGGAGATAATTCCTGAGGGAAAAAAACAACAAAACCTGTTCATAGCCAGAGCGGTCATCTCAGTCATCATTGCCCGAACTTTTCTTTCTTATCCTTTTTAACAATTGTAGTTTTCTAGCTACCTCTGTGTTTTGTGGCTTACTATCAGTCTATAAGATTTTGTGTTCAAAAAGATGGGAACGGGTGGGCATGGTGGCTCACGCTTGTAATCCCAGCACTTTGGGAGGCCGAGGCTGGTGAATCACCTAATGTCAGGAGTTCAAGACCAGCCCGACCAACATGGAGAAACTGCGTCTCTACTAAATATGCAAAATTAGCCGGGCGTGGTGGTGCATGCCTGTAATCCCAGCTACTCTGGAGGCTGAGGCAGGACAATCGCTTAAACACGGGAGGCGGAGATTGCAGTGACTGCAGAGATCGCAGAGATCGCGCCATTGCACTTCCTTAATCTCATAACAGCAGCCTCTCAGCGGTCGGTCAAGCTAAATCCATTAGCTTATGTCTGACTTGCGAAACTCCATCTCAAGAAAAAAAAAAAAAAAGATGAGAACATTGGGTTCTTCTCTGCTAGCACCTAGGATAGCACTTGCATACCTACTGTGTGTGTACATGTGGGTGTGTGTGTAAGAAATCATGCAAAAAGGGGCTCTTGCTTGTCTTAGCTTGCAGCATCCGTAATGAAAAGACACTTGAGTGTATCTCACACTCGAGTTTTCTGATGACAGGCACAGAGACATACATTTCAGGAATGGTAGGGACACGGGTTCCCACAGCCCTTTGCCAGCCACCATCAGATAATCGGCCCCCACCCGGTGGCTCAGCAGAGCCTCACTCTCCCATGGGAAGCTCCCAGGTACCTTTGCATGTTTTCTCATGGATGCAGTCCTGACACATCTCTGGACAATGCTTGCACACCCCCTCCACAGCCACGTGCCTCTCGGGGCAGGTTTCCTGGCACACTCCGTGGTGCAGGACGAGGCCTCCTTCACAAGAATGGCAGTTGGTGGTGTTTCCTTCACACGTTCTGCAAGGAGAGCTACAACGTTCACATACGCCATCTTCTGCGTAAGAGCCCCTGTGGAAGGAGAAGAGAGTGCAACTGGAGAAGCTGCCCTGCTGGAGAAGTGACTCTTTCCTGGGGAAAAGGAATTAGGGCTAAAAACAAAAGGGCTGCTGCTGTTGTCAGCTGAGAGGCATCCACGGGATTTATGAGGAAGTGAAAAAGAACATTCAGAAAAACGTAAGGAAAAGGACAGGCATTATTCTTGTGAAAGGAAAATAAATCACCACCCGATATTACTAAGCCAAACGGAAAAATCAAGCTGGGAACTGCTTAGGGCAAACCTGCCTCCCAGTCTATTCCTTAAAAAGATAGCTACTGGCCGGACACGGTGGCTCACGCTTGTAATCCTAGCACTTTGGGAGGCCGAGGCAGGCAGATCATGAGGTCAGAAAATCAAGACCATTCTGGCCAACATGGTGAAATCCTGTCTTTACTAAAAATACAAAAATTAGCTTGGCGTGGTGGTGCGCGCCTATAATCCCAGCTACTCGGGAGGCTGAGGCATGAGAATCATTTGAACCTGGGAGGCAGAGGTTGCCGTGAGCCGATATCATGCCATTGGACTCCAACCTGGCGACACAGCGAGACTATGTCTCAAAAAAAAAAAAAAAAAAAAAAAAAAAGACAGTTACTAAGATTTTAAAAAGCTACAATGGGTTGGGTAGGGTGGCTCACGCCTGTAATCCCAGCACTTTGGGAGGCCGAGGCAGGTGGATCACCTGAGATCAGGAGTTTGAGACTGGCCTGGCAAAACCCCATCTCTACTAAAAATATGAAAATTAGCTGGGTGTGATGGCACATGCCTGTAGTCCCAGCTACTCAGGAGGCTGAGGCAGGAGAATCGTTTGAACCCGGAAGGTGGAGGTTGAGGTGAGTCAAGATCACACCCCTGCACTCCAGCCTGAGTGATAGAGTGAGACTCTATCTCAAAAAAAAAAAAAAAAAAAAAAAAGCTACAATGTACATCTTACATATATTGATTGATGTCTCATGTCTCCCTAAAAAGTATAAAATGAAGCTGTGCCCTGCCTACCTTGGGCGCATGTCATCAGGACCTCCTGAGGCTACGTCACCGGCTTGTGGGCATGTGTCCTTAACTGTGGCAAAATAAACTTTCTAAATTGACTGAGACCTGTCTCAGATATTTGGGGTTCACATTCTTGTGAATTTGATTGGTTTGAGAAGAACTGTTGCTAATTTTGTTCATTTGTGTGTAGTTTGGTCATCTTCTCTTTTCTCTATATGACCCCCTAATTTTCATTATTGTTTCTTTCTTTTTGTTAGAGCCTAACTTTAAAGTAGAAAATATTTTTTATTCAATTAATACATTTTAAAAACATTTAACAAACTTAAAAAATATTTCCAGAAGGCTCAAAAGGGTTAATACCCTGTCAGATTGGAACCACTGGATGCTCTCACCCAGTCTCTGATGACTTTTTTCAAGCGCACACATATGAACATTTGCACACAGCACTAAATATAGTTGAGTACCAGTATGTCTGTGCAAATGACCTTCTTCCAGGCAGAATCTTATGTCTGTATATATAGAACCCCAATGATTATCCCATTATAGAAATCACTCACTGGTGGGGGAGCACAGTAAAATATAAAACCCCAGTCCTCTCAAATATATTTGGGAGATGACGAATGGATAGATGAGGTTTCCTTTTTTCTTTTTTTAAAAAAAATACTGTAAGTTCTGGGGTACATGTACAGAATGTGCAGGTTTGTTACATAGGTATACACATGCCATGGTGGTTTGCCGCACCCATCAACCCGTCACCTACATTAGGTATTTCTCCTAATGCTCTCCCTCCCCTTGCCCCCCACCCTCCGACAGGCCCTGGTGTGTGATGTTCCCCTCCCTGTGTCCATGTGTTCTCATTGTTCAACTCCCACTTATGAGTGAGAACACGCAGTGTTTGGTTTTCTGTTCCTGTTAGTTTGCTGAGAATGAAGGTTTCCAGCTTCATCCATGTCCCTGCGAAGGACATGAACTTAGATGAGGTTTCTTTGGTGGGAAAAGCTGAAGGGAAGAGCTGGAACTTGCAGAAGAGGAAGAACCAAGAAGCCAGCTTAGAGAAAATGGACTTCTGATGCCATGGGTACCTACTGCAATTGCTTTCTATCATGATCCATTAGTGAGGTGGTGCCATAATAGGGCTGTGTCACAAACCACCCCAACCCAGAACTTGGTGGCTTAAAACAACACTCATTTACTCTCACTCATGTGTGGGGGGAAGCAGATCTAGGCTGGGCTTGGCAGGCTTGACTCCAGGCTGCACACTGAGTCCACGTCTTCACATCTCTCTATTTTCCCTGGCTACAGGGACTACCAGGGGACGTTCTCACAGCTGCGACAGAAGCGCAGAAGGGTAAGTTCAATCGGGCACATTTTATGCCTCCACCTTTCTTCTGCTAACATGTCATTGGCCAAAGCAAGTCACAGAACCCAGTCAAAGTCAAGGGACAAGGAAGTCCATTTCGCCTCTAGTGGCGCTGGTACAAAGTTGCAGGCAGTGGGCATGAATACAAGGAGTGGTGAAGAACTGCAACAAATAACCCAGTCTACCAGAGACCTTTTAACATCGCAAGCCAGGGAGGAATCTGCTCCTACACAGCATTTTCACTTGATGTTTTAATTAGTTAGCGCTCACACATTTAATCATTCTTTCAGTCATTTATTTATTGTATGCATTCAGTAAACAAAAATATATTGAGTGTGCCAGGAAGAAATAGGAGAGGGGTGAACAGAAGTCACATTTCTTTGTTTTGTTTTGTTTGAGACAGGGTCTTGCTCTGTCCCCCAGGCTGAAGTGCAGTGGCGTGATCTCGACTCACTGCAACCTCCATCTCCCGGGTTGAAGCGATTCTTGTGCCTCAGCCTCCTGAGTAGCTGGGACTACAGGCATGCACCACCATGCCTGGCTAATTTTTGTGTTGTTAGTAGAGACGGGGTTTCACCATGTTGGCCAGGCTGGTCTGGAACTCCTGACCTCAAGTGATCTGCCTGCCTTGGCCTCCCAATTACAGGTGTGAGCCATGTGCCCAGCCAAAAAGTTGTATTTCTGATATAGTTTCAGGTAAGAACAACTGGAGAAGAAAGCAGTTTAGATAGAAGAGAGAAAAAGAAATAGCATCCAGATAAAAGCTAAGATCAGGCTTCCTCACACATTAGTACCCTTAGCTTTTTTTGACCATGACAGAGAATGCTTGAAGAAGAGACTCAGCTACTTTGCCCAAACAAAGCCTATCTCTTAAAAATGAAGACAGTGGATGGCAATGTGTTATATGCTCATCAGGAGTTTGACTGGATTTGAGAAATCTGAAATTAAGGAAATTTAGTGCAGTCTTAAATAGATTACATTCTTTTTTTTTTTTGAGACAAGGTCTGGCTCTGTTACCCAGGCTAGAGTGCAGTGGTGCGATCATGGCTCACTGCAGCCTCGACTTGCTGGGCTCAAGTGATCCTCCCATCTCAGCCTCCTGAGTAGCTAGGACTACAAGTCTGTGCCACCACACTGGGCTATCTTTAAATTTTTATCCCTTTTTTTTGTGTGTGTAGAGATGGGGATCTTACTATGTTGCCCAAGCTGGTCTCAAACTCCTGGCCTCAAGCAGTGAGCCTACCATGACCTCCCGAAGTGCTGGGATTACAGGTGCACCTTACCAATCACACCTTCTAAGGGAATGAAAATTTGATGGATTCATTGTTCCTGTATGCATAGTAAAGAATTTGACCTCACCCAAAGAGAAGTCTAGTCTTTCTCTTCAGCTAACCTCAAAACCTTTGGAATTTCCTAAGTGATAGGGGTGTCTTTGTTATTCATGATGTGCCTCTCTTGCCACACTTGAGAGTTGGTGCTGGGATGCCTCCGAGTGGGGACAGCCACATCTCGTAAGCTTACGGTGGGAGCTGGTGTGCCACAATGATCCACTCTGTGTTTAAAGGAGGGGAGCTGTGTGATATCAGGCCTACCTCCAGGGAATCTCAGTGCTAGGCCTGGTCAAGACCTCTGGACACTGAAGATGATGAATGCTAATATAGAGCCTAAAAAGATGCATCATGAAGAAATCTTTTTCAGATCCCTCTCAGAAGAGGGTCAGTGGATGTTGGATGAGATGCTGAAATGAAAGAAATGGATTCAAGCAAAAAGAAAAAAAATAAAACTCTTGAAGTGGCTCATGCCTGTAATCCCAGCACTTTGGGAGGCCCAGATGGGCAGATCACCTGAGGTCAGGAGTTCAAGACCAGCTTGGCCAACGCATGGCAAAATGCTGTCTCTACAAAAATACAAAAATTAGTCAAATGTGATGGCAGGCACCTGTAATCCCAGCTACTCAGGAGGCTGAGGCAGGGGAATCGCTTGAACCCAGGAGGCAGAAATTGCAGTGAGCTGATATTGCACCACTGCACTCCAGCCTGGGTGACAGAGCGAGACTCCGTCTTTAAAAAAAAAAAAAAAAAAAGTGAATATCAGAAGCTGTTGGGAGACAGCCAGAAGGCAACCTGAGAGGTGATTTTCAAGGAGCCACTTGCTAAAAGTAGTCTCCACACAGATCTGCCTGCGAGTTTGTCCTCCTTTCCGCTCTCTGCATTCATAAAACTGTTTTTCTTAGTGCTTTATTTCACAATTATTTTATTTAAGAAGACTAATATTTGTTTTGAAAAGAAATGGTTGCATATACTAAATTGTTAAATTCAAATTACTTTGTGTTGCAGTCTTTCAGCTCAGATAAATCCATGTCTTGTGAAAGCTGTGTGGTCCGGGACCTTCACCTCCATTTCACAGACACCAAGACAGCGACCGGCAGCACTTAAAGGAAGGCCGTATTTCTTCAACAGAGCTTCAAATCTGTTCACGTTTGGTGAATGTGAGTCCACCTTAAGTTTTCTGTTGCTTTTTAAACAACCACCATAATGATATATGTTACTGGCATGGTGGCTCATGCCTGTAATCCCAGCACTTTGAAAGGCCAGGGTGGATGGATCACCTGAGGTCAGGGGTTCAAGGGCGGCCTGGCCCACGTGGTGAAACCCCATCTCTACTAAAAATACAAAAAATTAGCCGGATGTGGTGGCAGATGCCTGTAATTCCAGCTACTTGGGAGGCTGAGGCAGGATAATTGCTTGAACCTGGGAGGCGGAGGTTGCAGTGAGCTGAGATGGCGCCATTGCACTCCAGCCTGGGCCACAAGAGTGGAACTCCATCTCAAAAACCAAAACAAAACAAAAGATATATGCTACTGTTAAAACCTATTTTTGGCCGGGTGCGGTGGCTTATGCTGTAATCCCAGTACTTTGGGAGGCCAAGGTGGGTGGATCACAAGGTTAGGAGTTTGAGACCAGCCTGGCCAACATGGTGAAACCTCATCTCTACTAAAGATAGAAAAAAAAAAAAAAAAAGCTGAGTGTGGTGGCATGAGCCTGTAATCCTAATGAGTCGGGAGGCTGAGGCAGGAGAATTGCTAGACCCTGGGAGGCAGAGATTGCAGAGAGCAGAGATAGCACCATTGCACTTCAGCCTGGGTGACAGGGTGAGACTCAGTCTCAAACAAAACAAAACAAACAACTTTTTTTTTTTTTCATGAACATATGCTATATTTGAAAAAGCAGGGGCCACTAAATGCTAACTTATAAATAGCTCTGAATATCTGGATGCTGTGTCATTGCAGGTTATGTTCCTGTTATAAATCTTATTGCTGTTCTAGGATGGATCACACCCAAAAGGGTGATTTCTCAGAAACAGCAATAAAGCTTCCAAGATAAGCTGGATATTATATGTTCCTCAGACTCTGTGTCTTCTGTTGTTAGTTTTCTTTTTCTTTTTCTGTAAACACAAAGATGAGGGATTCCACTATAATCAGATCACCCTACCCATAGCAGGAGGGCATATGCTTGCAATTCTATAGTCTGCAGTATTTCTAGGCCATGCTCGTAGCTTTCCTACTGCTCGAGCAATACAGACTATATTGACTGCTGCATGTCTGCATAGTGTCTCACTGCTCCATGAAAATGCTTCACCCCAGACTTGAAGGTAAAAAATGTTGAGCGGCCGGGCGCGGTGGCTCAAGCCTGTAATCCCAGCACTTTGGGAGGCCGAGACGGGCGGATCACAAGGTCAGGAGATCGAGACCATCCTGGCTAACACGGTGAAACCCCGTCTCTACTAAAAAATACAAAAAATTAGCCGGGCGAGGTGGCAGGCGCCTGTAGTCCCAGCTACTCGGGAGGCTGAGGCAGGAGAATGGCGTAAACCCGGGAGGCAGAGCTTGCAGTGAGCTGAGATGCGGCCACTGCACTCCAGCCCGGGCGACAGAGCGAGACTCCGTCTCAAAAAAAAAAAAAAAAAAAAAAAAAAATGTTGAGCGGTCGACTAACTGGAGTAAAGCAAAATACACTCTTTCTTCCTTGTTTTAATGCATTGTGAATTCCTGGAACACTCAAAGAACCCAAGAGAGTGTTGAAAAAGGTAATGATTAAATAAATAAGGCAATAATAATGACAACCAGTTCAATCCTACCACTGAGGAAGCAATGACTGACTCTGGTAAGCAGCTCTCTGACTTTCACCTTCGCTTTGTTGTAACACTTGGCTGAGTTTGCTGTGGAGGGGGAGCTCGGTTGATAGGGGAGGAGGACCGGAAGTTTCCAAACCTGCCTTCTCACCTGGGTTCTGTTACTCTGATCCTTTGCTACCCTTTCTCCACTCTCTGCTTGACAAAATCCTTCCAGAGCTAGTGACCATCAAGCTTTTTCTCAAATACCCAGCCAGGGATGAAGCTGGAAAACATTCTGCTAAGTCAAAAAGTCTGTCACAAAAAAACATGTTTTGTCTTTTTTGTTTTGTATGTTTTGTTTTCATTTTCAGAGACAGGGTCTTGCTATGTTGCTCAGGCTGACCTTGAACTCCTGGGCTCAAGCAATTCTCCAGCCTTGGACTCCTGATAGCTGGGACTGGAGGTGTGTACCATGGCCACCATGCTTGGCTCAAAGACCACATTTTATACAATGCCATTTATAGGAAATGTCCAAGAATAGCAAATCTATAGGGACAGGAAGTAGATTAGTGGTTGCTAAGGGCTGGGGGAAATGCAGAAAGTAGGAATAACGGCTAAAAGGGTATAGGGTTTCTTTCTAGGTTGATGAAAATGTTCTGAAATTGATTGTGGTAATGGTTGCATAACTCTGTGAATATACTAAAAACCAGTGAATTATACGCTTTTGGGGTGAATTGTATGGTGTGTGAATTATGTCTTAATAAAGTTGTGATTAAAAAAATAATTATACAAGAAGGCAGCACTGAGTGATAGTTAAGCACATGGACTTCAATGCCAGAGAGGTTTGGGTTCCAATTCTGACCACACCATGTATCTGACATATAAAATGGATTCTGCTATTCTTTTCCTCATCTGTCAAACGAGGGAAAATAATAGTATGTGAATAAGAGAATTCTTGTGAGAATTAATGGGATCATACATTTAAAGCTCTTAGCACAATACCTGGACATTGCAAGCATTCAAAAAATAGTGATTTAAAATCTTTTCTTTTCCCTTGGAATCTCTAAGCCTTTTGTATATTAAGGCTCTGAGAAGTGTGACGTTGCCTGATGTAAACCTCCCTTACTGGATTGTAAGCATTTTGCAGACCCATTCTTCCTTCAGTGGGTCTTAACTTAGCTTTCCATATCAAGGATCAATATCAATATCAATATCAATATCAATATCAATTGTTGGTAGAAGAATAGACTCTACTGAGCTACATATATACAATACAATCTATTGATATTGTATCAGTATCAATTTTTACACCTAGTTGGTGCTAAATATGTATCTGTGTTGTTGAGGTGAATATGCTTGGCTTTCTACACTAGATTGGATGCTTTTTGAGAATAAATACCTTATATTTATACTCATTACTTATATTTATACTCTATATATAGAGTCTATCTCAGTAATGAAAACAAATAGGTCACTAGGAAATAGGTGCCATTTTTGCTTTTTTCCTTTTTTTTTTTTTCAAGTTGGAGTTTCGCTCTTGTTGCCCAGGCTGGAGTACAATGGTGTGATCTCAGTTCACCACAACCTCCACCTCCCGGGTTCGAATGAGTCTCCTGCTTCAGCCTCCCGAGTAGCTGGGATTACAGGCATAGGACACCACACCCGGCTAATTTTGTATTTTTAGTAGAGGCAGGGTTTCTCCATGTTGGTCAGGCTGGTCTTGAACTCCCGACCTCAGGTGATCTGCCTGTCTCGGCCTCCCAAAGTGCCGGGATTACAGGTGTGAGCTACCATGCCCAGCCGGGAAACAGGTGTCATTGTATCAAATTCTTTTACTAAGAGGGCAAAAGAAAATCCTAACTCCTTAAAGTAGACACTGTCAGTTACTTCCCCAAATTTATTTCCTGCCTTCCTCTCTCCATTCTTCCTGGCTGTCAGAGTCCTGAGTTGTTTGGGTGCTCAGGGGTAAATCTTGTCCAGCCTGAACCACGCCTATATTTCCATTCTTTTGGCCAGAGATTGATTTAGGGAGGTATCAGTGATGCATTCTTGGGACTGAGATTAGCAGGGAAGTCTGAGGAAATTTTCTTTTCTCTCAAGAAAAGGATAAACAAGGGGAAACATCCCCTTTCCTGGCCCTGATCGTGGCTGCATGGGGTGACAGTGTCTGGAGCTGAGACACACAACGTGGGCTCAGCAGCGGCACCGGTCAGAGAGGATGAGCTAAGGAAGGTACAAGAGCAAAACAGAAAAACCAGACTTTGTGATGACCTTCTTGGCCGCTGAAGTGACCGATATTGGACTTGCAACATTTTTGTTCTGTGAGATAATAAACCCTGTTATGTCTCAGTCATTTTACTTGGCATTTCTGTTGCTTATTGCTGAAAGTTTCTTGCTGTACTCTTCCATTTGCTATTCCTCACTTTCTTCCTAGGTAAATTCTAGAGGTGGGACCATTGGTAGGAAGAGTAAAGCAATTACAAACCAGGGGACCAAGGAAACCGGGAGGAATCAATAACTAACTAACCAAGTATTATTTATTATTTATAATTCATGCCTCACCTATTTAAACCTTTAGAAGAGGTTCACATCACAGCCTTACTTTTGTAATGGAGGAAAAAAGAAAAACCATGACAACAGTTGATCATTAAGGTGGGAAAATAACTTTTTCTTTTTCTTTTTTCAAAGAGACAGGGTCCTGCTTTGTCATCCAGGCTGGAGTGCAGTTGCGCAATCACAGCTCACTGCAATCTCCTGGGCTCAAGGAATCCTCCCGCCTCAGCCTCCCAAGTAGCTGGGACTACAGGCACCCACTGGCTAAGTTTTTTTTTTTTTTGAGACGGAGTCTTGCTCTCTTGCCTAGGCTGGAGTGCAGTGGCACCATCTCGGCTCACTGCAAGTTCCGCCTCCCAGGTTAACGCCATTCTCCTGCCTCAGCCTCCCGAGTAGCTGGGACTACAGGTGCCCGCCACCATGCCCAGCTAATTTTTTGTATTTTTAGTAGAGACGGGGTTTCACCGTGTTAGCCAGGATGATGTCGATCTCCTGACCTCATGATCCACCCGCCTCGGCCTCCCAGGGTGCTGGGATTACATGCGTGAGCCAGCGCACCCGGCCCCCAATGGCTAATTTTTTAAACTTTTTGTAGACAGAGTCTTGCTATGTTGCCTAGGCTGGTTTCAAACTCCTAGCGATCCTTCTGCCTTGGCCTCCCGAAGTGCTGTGATTACAAATGTGAGCCATCATGCCCAGCCCCTGAACGTATTTTTCATAAAAGTAAAAATATACACCTAAAATAGTCACAAAGGAAAAGTGGGCATCTGGCCTCATGTAAGTTTTGGCTGCTGCGGCCCATAGCCGTGTCAGTCAACAGAGGACATTTATGTGGGCGCTCATAGAGTGGAGAAGAGTTTTTTGGTGAACAAGAAGGAATTGCTCCCAAAGTACCTTAGGAGAGCGACTACAAGCAGGAAGTAAAATTAAAAAGGAAACTTACTCCGGGCACTTGGAGTAGCACCTGCCTTCATGGAGGAAGAGAGGGAGGCCCAGCTGCATCCGGCACTTTTTGCAAAGATCGGCTCCAGAGCAGACGGCACAGGCCTCCGAACAGTTCTCGCAGCTCCTGCTCCTTACGGAAGGCCATGTGCCTTGGGGACAGGAGGAAACACAGGCCTGAGCCAGAAGATATGCACCTAGAAATCCAGGGAAGATAGGAATAGTCATCATGTGTATTTCTATGCGGAGACATGGCTTTTTTAACCTTTCCAAAGACCAAAGTATCCAGGCACTTATTTCTGGCTTACCAAAATATTTACTAGTGATGCTAAGTCCTCCAGGATGAGTTACGTTTCTAGAAGGCAATTGACAGCAAGAGGCTTTTGCCTTGGTTCTTTCCTTTCCCACGGATATTAGGTAGAGGTCATGACGGGGCTTCCCTTTGCCCAGCTGATCAGTCTTGTTAACACCCTGTCTATGTCTTCCTGGTGTAAGGCAGCTGTACATGCACAGCTTGATAGAATCTATTAATACTCTGTTTCCCAAAGCTCATCTTGTTAGGACACTAACATAGTTGCAACTGTTTCTTTTTTGAGAAAGAGTCTTGCTCTGTCTCCCAGGCTTGAGTGCACTGGTGCGACCTTGGCTCACTGCAAACTCCGCCCCCTGGGTTCAAGGGATTCTTCTACTTCAGCCTCCCGAGCAGCTGGGACTACAGGCGTGCACCACCACACCTGGCTAATTTTTGTATTTTTAGTAGAGACGGGGTTTCACCATGTTGGACAGGCAGGACTCGAACTCCTGACCTCAGGTAATCTGCCTGCCTCAGCCTCCTAAAGTGCTGGGATTACAGGCTCGGCACAGAGTTACAACTCTTCCACCCAACTCTCCCTTTAACAGAGGATCCATCTATTTTTTAATCGAACAACAGATACTCATTAAGAAAACCAGTTTTCAAAATCACTCTCAAACCCAAAATTCCAAGAAAATGCTTTAGCTTTTTGAGTGTAACCTTTTATATTTTTTATGATTATAATCGTGGCTTGCCTATTGTAAATTTTTCTGCTTTTGCATCATATTCCACTATTAACATTGTACATTCCAACACGGACTTTATAATGATCATGTAAACATTCTTCTTTTTTTTTTTTTTTTGAGGCAGCGTCTTGCTCTGTCATCCAGGTTGAAGTGCACACTGCAACCTCTGCCTCCCAGGTTCAAGTGATCTCATGTCTCAGCCTCCTGAGTAGCCTGGGATTACAGGCATGTGCCAACACATGTGGCTAATTTTTGTATTTTTATTAGAGATGGGGTTTTGCCATGTTGGCCAGGCTGGTCTCCAACTCCTGGCCTCAAGTGATCCTCTAACTTCAGCCTCTCAAAGTGTGGGATTACAGGCATGAACCATCATACCCAGCCCACTTAAACATTCTTTATGTCAGTGTACCATTTAAGTAAAATATTCCCCTAATTCAGGGAAGGTATGTTATTTGTGATTTTTGTTTCTATAGATGAAGCAATTGGTAAGTTATCAAGCTGTTATGTTGCTGCTCTTATTTCTTTCTCCGTCCCTCTTCATCATGCCTTTAGATCAAGAAACTTTTTTTTTTTTTTTTTGGAGATAGGGTCTTGCTCTGTTACCCAGGCTGGAGTGCAGTGGCATGATCATGGTTCACTGCAGCCTTGACCTCCTGAGACCAAGCAATGCTTTCATTTCAGCCTCCCAAGTAGCTGGAACTACAAGGACATGCCACCATGCCCAGCTATTTTTAAAATTTTTTATAGAGATGGGGTCTTACTATGTTGCCCAGGCTGATCTCAAACTCCTAGGCTCAAGCAATCCTCCCGCCTCAGCCTCTCAAAATGTTGGGATTACAGGTTTGAACCACTGCACCCGACCACTTCTTTGTATTGTCCTTTGAAAACCAGTTTTTATCATTGGTCAATGTTTGGGTCCTTGTGTGTCTCCCAAGTAGCCACTGTCATAGGAACATGTGATGGGAGTAGACCAAGGTGTTACAGACCTCCTTACACAAAGATGCCACTGCACATGAGTTTCAATGACTTGGCTTGACTGCTGCCATCTCCTGTCACACAACACACTAACCTTTGGGACATGAAGTGCACAGAGTTGCAGATCCATTGCAGGTTTTACAAGAAGAATGACAAGGCTGGGATTTTCTCAAAGTATCTGTATGAGAAAGAAACAACAGTTCAGGCTTCTCCTTTGAATAGGCACATAGGATTCCAGTGCTGAAAAAGATCTCATGGGTAACCTAGTCCCTTTTCCTGCCCCAAATGGAATCCTTTTGATTGTATATGAGATGATTGTTGGCACTGGCTCATTGCCATTGTGTAGACTTCATTTATTTTTTTTTCTCTTACTCCTTCATTTGCAATTGAATATCAAGACTTCATTGGCAATTGATTATCAAGAAAGATACCACACGAATGTGTGGTACCAAAAGGAATGTGGTATCTTATAAGATAGCCTCAAATACTGTGGGGATATCTGAACTAACAAATGATTACTTCTTTTGTGTGTTAAAAATGGGAGTGTGAGTTTGTGTTTGTGTGTATGCATTTGTGAATGAGTTTATGAGTCAAAGGTAATCACTTCTATTGCCAAGATTGTTGGATGACCTTTTCTTTTCTTGTCTTTTTTTTTTTTTTTTTTTTTTGAGACAGAGTCTTGCTCTGTAGCCCAGGCTGGAGTGTAGTGGTATGATCTTGGCTCACTGCCATCTCCGCCTTCTGGGCTCAAGCGATTCTCCAGCTGAGTAGCTGGGACAGGTGCTCACCACCATGCCCGGCTAATTTTTGTATTTTTAGTAGAGACAGGGTTTCGCCATGTTGACCAGGCCAGGCTCGAACTCCTGACCTCAGGTGATCCACCCACCTCAGCCTCCCAAAGTGCTGGGATTACAGGCGTGAGCCACCGTGCCCAGCCGGATGACCATTTTTCTTCACTCCAAGATGATAATTGAGAATTCATTGTACCTCTCGTGGAGGAACTTCTTTTCTTTTTTCTGTTTTTGTTCTTCGAAAATCAGATTTTATTATTGGTCAAAGTTTGGGTCACTGTTTTCTTCAGAGTAGCTACTGTGCTATGCAACCTAAATTTATCTCATCTTAAATTTGTCCCAAATCATTGTTAAACATCAAAATTTTCCCCTACTCATGAGCTTTCTGGTTGGTCGGGCTATAAGTAGGCCATCCCAGGTTAATACACCATTCACCAGGGAAACATTGGAAGTGTTCCCTTCTCCCTTTCCCTCCAACAGCATTTGATGGGCAGGCTTTCCCAGGAGGTCACCTCAGCAACTCCATGGGACAGTTTCAAAGACAGAACAGCTTCAAGACTTCACTCAATCAATACACACTGAGACCTTGACTAGAGCTCAGGGATTGCTCAGAAATCAGCATGGCTCACATAGGGAAAAATTAGAAAACGACGTTCTAGCTCAGAATGTGGGATTTCAATGACCCTGACCCTCAACCAATGTTGACATCTCACCATTTCCCTTCATTTCCTCCTCCCTCCCTTTCTCCCTTCCTTCTTCTCCTGCCTTTCATCTTCTTTCTTCTCATCCTAAGAGTCAGAGCCGGGTATAGATGGCTCTCTAGTCACACCTGCCTTCAGATCCCAGCTGTGCCGCCGAAGGGAAGGGTAACCATGGATACAGTAATTAAACTCTCAGAGTCCTGCTTTCCTTGTCTCTAAAATGAGAGAAAATAATTCTGCCCTTATAGGATTGTTGTGAAGACTAAATGAGATAATGTGTGCTAAGTGCTTAACAGTGGCACAGTAAATGGTAGTTCCTCCTGCTTCCTGTTGTCTCTCTCCCGTCACCATTCCACTCCATTTCTGAGGCTTGTTTTACTCCCCTCTTCTTTCCCTCTGGTTTCATACCTGAGTGTCACCGCTTGGCTTCTACAATATCGTGGATACAAAGCTGATGAGCCTTGCCATAGAGGAAACTAGATTCAAATACAGATGGTAGAAAGATACGTACATAGATGGATAGGATGGATAGATACAGATACGGGGATAGATGCAGATACAGGTGGAGATGGAGATGGAGGTGTAAATGATTAGGCTGCCATGCAGGGTAGTTGGTTTTCTCCTAGTTTGGAGAGAAAAATTTACCCTGGTTTTCTTTGATTTTTTGAGACAGAGTCTCACTTCATCGCCCAGGCTGGAGCGCAGTGGCGCGATCTTAGCTCACTGCAACCTTTGCCTCCCAGGTCCAAGCGATTCTCCGGTCTTAGCCTCCCAAGTAGCTGGGATTACAGGTGCCTGCCACCGACCCTGGCTAATTTTTGTATTTTTAGTAGAGATGGGGTTTCCCCATGTTGCCCAGGCTGGTCTCGAACTCCTGACCTCAGGTGATCCACCCGCCTTGGTCTCCCAAAGTGCTGGGATTACAGGTGTGAGCCACTGCAGCCAGCCCCCTGGTTTTCCAATATACTAATTAAAGCTGATGATTGACTGGTGTACTCTCTCTGGAGCATCTGTTAAGGGCTGAATTTAGCCTTGTGCAGAGCCACAGGATTGTCACAAAGGTGTTCCTCATGCCTCTCAAAGTAACCGATTCTGTCCCCGAAGGCCTTTTAAACCTGCAATATCACTCAGCCCCAAAGAGATGGCAGCCGAAAGGCGAGCAACAATCCTGTTGCTACTATCAGTCAGATGTTCACTGAATGGCTGAGAGCAGTTGTGCAAAGAGTAATAAGACAACAATATTAATCAGAGAGTGAACACCTTGCAAATCTACATCCAGGCTTCAGGCTGATTTTCCTTTGATGTTATCATGTATATACTAAAATATATTTATAAAGACATGAGTTTTCATTAATTTTCTCATATTTGTATACATTTTAATGTCTATATCTACACATATGCACATATTTATAATTACATGTATCTCACATTCTGGCAATTTGGTATTTTACTGCATACACCTGGTATAAAATTCTATAATGTCAGCCAAGCAAGGTGGCTTATGTCTGTAATCCCAGCAATTTGGGAGGCCAAGGTGGGAGGATCGCTTGAAGCCAAGAGTTTGAGACCAGCCTGGACAATACAGGGAAACCTTGTCTCTTAAAAAATAATAACAAATAAAAATAAAATAAAATTCTGTAATGTCTCCATATGTCCACCAGAGGGAGATCTGTACAAGCAGTTAACTTAGCAATTAGGCCTGGGCATGGGATCAAGTCTTCCCCAGCAAGAGTTCTTTATCATAAAAGATTAGGGACTTAATCTCAACAAGTAAATTTTAACCGTGATCATAGTTTCTCTTTTTCCCACTCCAGAAATTCTAGACTGGACAGGACCGCAAAAAAAAAAAAAAAAAAAAAAAGAAAGAACCACTTTGATCCAGAAAGTGCAGTATCCATTCCTCAGAAATGCCTGTAGCTAAACTATATAAAGCAAGGGGTTCATTTATTCTACTTATTTTTTATTTAATACATAATCTGCACATGGTGCAAAATGGAGAAAAGGCATGTACTGTGATGTCTCCCTCCTAATCCCTTCTCCACCCTTTTTCGTACAAACTGTATCTATTCACATGGTTTATCACCTTGCCTGTAAACAAGCAATATATTTGGAGATTATTCTTTATCAGTACAGAAAGAACCTCTTCCTTTTGGTGGCTCCATAGTATTCTATTGTATGAATACATTGACTTTATTTCTCTCGTCTCCTACTGGTAACCACTTAGTTTTTTCCAGTCTTTGTGATTTCAAACAATGCCGCAGGGACTGGGAAGGCAGAGGTGCTTCCTCAGCCTATTAAAGTTTTGTGAGGACAGATGCTCTTCTTGATAGCCTCTGCCAGGCATGACCATTTAGCATGTCACGCATGTCCTTATCTGTTACGGAAATCTCCACTGCTGAGCTTCTCACAGTCTTCCCTCTGAGTGACCGCTCATAGGTTGTGTTTATGGTCCCCTCCTCTCTCCATCTTTTTCTAATGACCTCTGCATCTCTGCACCCCATTTGCATCTGGCCTCCCAGCTTCTTGGGGTGATTTTTCCACGGAGACCGTCTCCAGAGACAGTCTCTGCCGCTGTGATTGTCGCCTCCCTATTTCCCTGTTACCTCTTTTGATTTGAACTTTCCACCTTCGTCGCTCTTGCAGCAGGCTCTTCACCACAGATAGGTTTGCAATGGGCACAGCTTCTTTTTTATTAAAAAAAAAAAGTGTTTAGTTTTTTTAATGCAAAAAGGATAAAGAAGATAAACTTCACCTATAATCCCACCACCCAGAAATGTCTGTTGTTTATACTGTGGTACATGGATGTCTCATCTTCATATCGAGTGTGTGAGTATAATTACATCTATGTATAGATGTGTGATCATTTATAGCTTCCGTATACATAAGACTGACCTTGAACACTGTATTTAACACTATAAATCTCGTAGGCATTTTCTCTTGTCATTAACATTCCTTGTAAACATTATTAGTATTTTTTTTTTATTTTTTTTTACGAGGAGTCTTGTTCTGTTTCCCAGGCCAGAGTGCGGTGGCACCATCTCAGCTTGTTGCAACCTCTGGCTCCCAGGTTCAAGCGATTCTCCTGCCTCAGCCTCCCAAGTAGCTGGGACTACAGGCAAGCACCACCATGCCTGGCTAATTTTTTGTATTTTTAGTAGAGATGGGGTTTCACCATGTTGGCCAGGTTCGTCTCGAACTCCTGGCCTGAAGTGATCTGCCCACCTTGGCCTCCCAAAGTGCTGGGATTATAGGCGTGAGCCACCGCGCATGGCCCCCAGAATTGCTTTCTTTCGTGACCCAGTGAATGCTGCTTTCAAAGCAAACTAGTGTTTCAAGTGTTAAAACTGGCCTGAGTCAAAGAGTTAGGGAGTAGATTAGGCTTTATTGTGTCATATGTGTCCTGAGAGCTTTATATGCATTTTCTCATTTAATTCTTAAAATGACTTTGTGTGAGGCAGTTTCATGTTTTCACTTTACAGACAAGGACACTGAGGCTCAGAGAGGATGAGTAACTCACTCAAGGTTACACAGCTAGCAAATCACAGAGCCAGGATTTGAATTAATGTGTGCTGCGCTCTAAAGTCTGCATCTGCTAGAGGGTGTAGACATAGGCTTTTGAATTTTTCAGTAATAAATTTGAATTCTAAAGTAATTTGATAGAAGCCAAAGTAATGGTGTGCTGGTATGACAGGTCTCTAGAAAATGAAAAACCAAAAACCTGATTTGTAGTGTTTCCAATTTCTGTGGTGTAAATACTCCCACCATAGCCAATTTCAAGCTGTCAATGGTTTCACAATCCACTTAGAGAACTCCTGAGTATGTAACCATCCGTGCAAGTTGATACGGATGCTTCCTTCATCCTACTGGCCAAACAGTTGATTACTTACCCAGTGCCATGTGTTTTTTTGCACTCTGTGTTCTGGTAGGTTAAATAAATAAAAATAGTGCACTCATTTCTAAGTGAGGCAGCTGCACACATCTACAAAGTCCTTCTAAAAATCAGATTTCCGTGGCATCTTTGAAGTTTTCTAAAGTTCAATGACTATTAGGCAACATATCTTCCCACTACTGAAGTGGATTTTTTTTTTTTTTCCCACATGTGTGTGGCTTTCAGTGTTTGTGACTAATTCTGGGATTCCAGTCTTTCCCCAAGGATAAGAATTAAGATCAAGAGACAGGCTAGTGATAAATTGTTAGGATGTGGTCAAAGACACAAAGCTAATTCACCATGTCTGTGTTCTGTAGATTAGACTATCACCAGAATATGTAATTAGAGCCTGTTATAACATGGATTTAATCAATGATGGAAATATGAGGTAAGAGAAATGTGCAAAAATTACTCCTAGGACTTTCCAGCACTACCAGGGGAAACCACTTAAGAAAATCCAAATGGTTTAACAGTAACAGAGGAAACTCTTTCCATTCCCAACAATGACTTCAGGAAACCAGCTGAAGCCATCATCTTCCTTCAAAGCCCGTGGTCTGCCATACCTGAACCTTTCCACCAAGGTTGTGTGATGCTTGAGTCACTGCTGAGGCCGTTTGCAGCCTGTTGAATATTATATTGTTTTGTTGTTGTTTTTTGACAGAGTCTCTCTCTGTTGCCCAGGCTGGAGTGCCGTGGCACAATCTCAGCTCACTGCAACCTCCACCTCCCAGGTTCAAGTGATTCTCACACCTCAGCCTCCCGAGTAGCTGAGGTTACAGGCACCCACCACCATGCCCAGCTAATATTTTTTGCATTTTTAGTAGAGATGGGGTTTTGCCGTGTTGGCCAGGTTGGTCTTGAATTCCTGACCTCAAGAGATCTGCCTGCCTCGGCCTCCCGAAGTGCTGGGATTATAGTCGTGAGCCACCATGTCTGGCCTTGAATATTGGTTTTATTCCTGCCATTTAGGGACACTAAATAATTGTCACAGTATACATCCCCAGACAGAGGGTCTGGGGGTGATCTATACATTTGTGCAGTGACTTTTTGGTGGCTGAAAAAACAGAGAGTTGAGCACCATCTTTGATGACTTAGTCTTGGCTGGAGGATTTGTCAGGCACTGTCTGATAGGTGGAGGAATCTGCATCCTTGAACTAGGTGGGAGGTATGCCCACTTTGCTGGTAGTTGGCAAAGAATGATGGCTCTCTCACTGTAGTCATTCTCATCCTGATTGGCCACCTTATTAAAAGAGGAGTTCAGGGAACTCTAGCTGGGCTTTTATTTCAAGGGTGTTTTCCCAGCCTATGCTGATAGATCCTCCTGGGTTGTAGTCTTCAGATGCAAACAGGATCTTATTGTTTCCACTGGGGAGCAGCATGGGTGAAGGAATGGATTGAAATGTGCGTCATCTTACCTTTCCTACCTGAATCTGAATCCGAGTTTGAAAAACAAAACAAAACCTAAAACAGAACAGAAAAACGTTCTGGTCCTACCTAGACAGCTATATCCTCTCAAAAACACTCTGTACTTTGCCTGGGTTTCCTCTGATTTGACCCAGGATGACTGCAGTCTGCTTTCCATCATCTTAAAGGTGTGGCTAATTAGTGCTTGTTCTCTGGAACCGTCTACTCTCCTATTACACTCTCGATCCTGTTTTTTAAGAAAAAGAAGTCAGGAGAAGGTCGTAGGCATTGGCTCAAATACTCCCAGGACTTTATGGAATGCATTTCCCATTTACTCTCCATTTCAGTGCTTATACTATGCTGGGGGAAGCTGAGCTATGGCTTTACCGTGCTTAGTGAATAAATGGCTATTTCTCTGTGTTAATGGTCTGCATGTCTTATTTCATAGGTCACAGGAATGAGAAAGTACAGCTCTGTCATTGATTTGATTGTTTTTGTCCAGCCATGAGAAACACTCCCATCTCTGTCCCCAATCCCCTGTTAGTGAAAAATCCCCAAATACACTAATTCCTCCCTCTCTTCAGAAACATTACATTGCAATAGTAGAAAATGCGGAGGGGTGGGTGTGGTGCTTCGACAAAAGGGAACCACTGAAGCCTGGTTTCTGCCTGCAAAATGCGTAGTCCAGTTGAAGGGACGTGGAATCATTTGGGGAATCAAGCCTGCTCTGACTCTTGGCTCCCTGGACCGTGTCATCATCTGGACGCCAGATAAAATACAGATGTTCAGCGAGAAACACAGCACCAGACCATTTTCCTTTTGGCGTGCGCTGCCTCTTAAATGCCTGAATGCCAGACAAACTCATTTTCAGCATTTTGCTTCAGCTATAACTCACAGAAGATATCCCAATCTGGATTGAATCATCTTCTCAGCTATGTCTCTGAAAGAGGGCCCACGTTCTCTGTGGCCTCTGGCTGCCGGGTTTTTCACGGTCTCTGAGCTGCTCTTCCTTGAAGTCACATGTGTAAAACTGCTGTAGTAGACAGCAGCCATGGACAGGCCTCCTCTCCAGCCCAGCATAAACCACAGAGCTGTCACTCCCTCGAGCCCTTAGCACACTCCTCCTGTACAGCCGTCTCTCCGGCTGCCATTGCCTTTGCACCAAATTGACCCTTTAAACCAATTCTTGCCTTGAAATCAAATGAAGAGCAGCTCCTGTTTTTGTGACTGTCTCTGCATAGAACAGGAGTCAGATTTTTCCAGCAGGAAGAGGATTTTGTTTTGTAACAACCTCGGACACGGAGGGGTCGCTGAAAGTTTGTAATTACCTTGCAAGGAAGCCTGTAACTGAGGCTCAGGTGTGAGGAGGCGTGTTGTAAAGACGCAGGGAGGAATGCGCACCTGCAGGCCTTTGCTGTTGGATTCCAAGCTCCCACACCTGTCTCCTCTCCTCCCTCCTCAAGAAGCTTCATGCTTTCCCTGTCTGCAACTGGGGAGAGTAACTTTTAAAGGCAAGCTTGAATGATGGTGAGCTCTAATAACGCAGCCATGGAGACCATCTGTTTTTAGCATAAATTCTAATATGTTCGAGCAGTCCTTCCTTGTCTAATTGGAAAAGCCTACCCTACAGGTAAAATTTCCCTTTACTATAAAAAGGACATGTAATAAGGACATAGGACCTGCCTGTGATGGAAGTGACTCTGAAATTTCAGAGAAAAATGGTACCGGGGCCATTTCCCTCCGTGACTCTCTTCAGTTGCTTCTGGGCCTGCTTCACCCAGGTAGAAACTCAAGCGGGTGGACCAATCATAAATTTGCCCTTTGGGCTCTCTCTGCTGGCTGAACACCAACCTCAGCTTCCTACCTACTCCTGCTACAAGCATCAGAGAGACTCAGGAACGACCCCAACTTGATTCTCACTCCAAACTCTTGTTTTTCTGCACAGCCTTTCTCTCCTGGATAGTTCAAAAAACCAGAGTTATAGAAGGAAGGAAGCAGAGTAGGCAGCTAGACCCCTGTGATCTCTTTTTGGGAGGCACATACCATTCCAGAATTTGCCCTCCTCCTGGGTCTGGGTGGCACGCACGCACACCCCACGCAGCGGCTGCAGTCCTTCCTGGCAGCTGCTGCACTCGTCATGACCAGGGCCTGTGCAGGTTTCACACTCTCGGTGGCAGGGCTCACATTCTCCCGTTTCTTGGTCACCATAGAATCCAGGGCCACATTTCCTCACACAACTGCCACCTATGTGAGAACACAGAGAGAAAGCATGAAGGCTTTGGTGATCTTTGCAAGGCCAAGTTCTAAAGAGGCTGGAGGAAATTTTAGGGACCTTTTTCTTTGCATTTGTTTTTATTGTTATTTTTGAGATGGAGTATCTCTCTGTTGCCCAGGCTAGAGTGCAGTGGCATGATCTTGGCTCACTACATCCTCCATCTCCCATATTCAAGCCATTCTCCTGCCTCAGCCTCCTGAATAGCCAGGACTACAGGTGTGTGTCACCACACACGGCTAATTTATATATTTGTAGTAGAGATGGGGTTTCACCATGTTGGCCAGGCCACTCTGTCCAGGCTTTTCATTTGTTTTTAAAGAAACCAAGATGGCTTTAGCTTATTTCAACCAAGAAATATGTTTTAATAAATCCAGACTGGGCAAGGTGGCCCATGCTTGTAATCCCAGCACTTTGGGGGGTTGAGGTTGGCAGATCACCTGAGGTCAGGTGTTCGAGACCAGCCTGGCCAACAGAGGGTGCAGTGAGCTGAGATTGCACCACTGCACTCCAACCTGGGTGACAAGAGCGAGACTCCATCTAAAAAAAAAAAAAACCCAACACTTTACCTAAGTCCTCTTTCAACTGGGAATTTACATTGGCCATTAAAGGGTTAAGAGCATTGACTACAGAATCCTTGAGGCCTTGAAAAACTACAAATAAAATAAATCTCTGTGTAGAGAAACACTGAAGAACGTTGTGGGCTGTCTTTCTCATTCTTTCTCCCCCAAACACTCAAGTGCATTGGGCTATTATCTCTTCAGCTGCAAGATTCACACTGTATTTCTTTTCTAACTATCCATTTCCATCAGTCAGTGACCAAAACCTAAAGCAAGGGATCTTGTTAAATTCTTACAGTGCACAGGGATATATGAGATGGATTAAATCTCAAGACAAGGGTCAGAGCTCTCAATATGCCAGGTGACTTCAATACCAAAACATTTATCTTCAGCTACCCACTCTCTATCTCCATCCAATTCAGCCTTGTTTCCATCAGCTTGGAGATATGTGAGATTAATTAGTGGAACAGGACCCATGCTTCAGTAATAAAAGCAGAAGGAAGTGGTTCAGCTAATGTTTATTTCTAAACCAAATTAAAATTTCTCCTTGGGCCAGAGGTGCCCGCACACACAGACTCTGAAACTAATCACATGTGTGCTCCTGCGGCCCCAACTGGGTGGAGCTCCAGTGCCTGGTTCTCACCTTGGATGGTACCATTTTCTAACTTACCCAAGAGAAAGAAGCCCTCTTCACACCAGTAACACCCATTCTGGTCACAGCTGCCACAGTTACTATCGCATGCCTTGCATTCCAGTTCCTCACTGTAGGTCTTCTCAGGACAGGTTTTATAACAATGCTGATCAAACCTAGAGGAAGAAGACATCATTTCTTGCATGACATATGTTGATGCATTACTCTTCACCACCATAATTTAATCTGCTTATATATATCTATGCAGAGTTTTTTGTTTTGTTTTGTTTGAGATGGAGTTTTGCTCTTGTTGCCCAGGCTGGAGTGCAGTGGTTGATCTCGGCTCCCTGCAACCTTGGTCTGCCGGGTTCAAGTGATTCTCTTGCCTCAGCCTCCCGAGTAGCTGGGATTACAGGTGCACACCACCATGCCTGGTTAATTTTTGTATTTTTTTTCTAGAGAGGGGGTTTTGCCATGTTGGCCAGGCTGGTCTCAAACTCCTGACTTCAAGTGATCCGTCCAGCTCTGCCTCCCAAAGTGTTGGAATTACAGGCATGAGCCACCACGCCCAGCCCATGCAGCGTTTTCAGCAGGAGTGAGTAATTGAATTTCAGGTTTGGTCTGTTGTGCCCCCGTCAACCCAAGTCACTAACCACCTCCTTCTGGACCTCCAAGGACTCTTTATCAGGGCAGCTGGGAGAAGGCTGGGGAGAAGGAAGGGGTACTGATACTTATTTATAGAGTACTGATTATGTGTCAAGTATTAGCTCATCTAAATCTCCACAAATCTCGTGTGGTAGATATCATGTATCTTTAATTTCTAGGTAAGGGAACTGGAGCTCAAGGTTAAGCGCTCAAAATCACACAGCTAGCTAATGGTGGGACTGGGATTTTAACCAAAGTCTGTGTGAAAAGGTTGCTTGTGTGATTTGTCACATAGCAACTAGCACCGAGGCCTGAAATAGCTTGGTGTCAAGCCCAAGCAGCTTACTAAAATGTCTGTAACCAGATTATTAACAATAGTAGCGAAGCAGCTTAGCTTTTATTTATAAATATTTTTATGTATGTTATCTGTTATTCTCATGATACAGTAAAAATGTTGTAATTCAGACTTCACTGAATTGCAGGCTTACCTGAAGGGGGAGTGGACTGAAATCGACCCCTGCCTTTGATGAATTTCAAAGCATCAGCATGATATCAGGGGAAACCTTTGCATATCTTCTTTAACAACTTCTTTTTTTTTTTTTTTTTGAGACTAAGTCTCCCTGTCACAGAGGCTGGAGTGCAATGGTGTGATCTTGGCTCACTGCAACCTCCTCCACCTCCTGGGTTCAAGCGATTCTCCTGCCTCAGCCTCCTGAGTAGCTGGGATTACACATGCGCACCACCATACTCAGCTAATTTTTGTATTTTTAGTAGAGATGGGGTTTCCCCATGTTGGCTAGGCTGGTCCCAAACTCCTGGCCTCAGGCGATCCACCCACCTCGGCCTCCCAAAGTGTTGGGATTACAGACGTGAGCCAACATGCCTGGCAACAACCTCTGTTGTATAGCATTCCACTAGCTGTATTCAAAATTGCTCAATGTTTTCAAAGATTAGATACATTTGTTTCTTGAAATAAATATCTCATGTTGTACCCTTGGTGATATTGGAGCATGTTCTTTCAGGGTATTTGTTTTTCAGAGGGTTTTATGAAACATGCTCATTAGCGAGTTAGTGGTGAACTGGAGAGGCGGCCAGGTTTGGCTCCAAAGTTTAACAGAGGGTGTTTAACAAAGTTTAACAGAGCCTGGCCAACATGGCGGAACGCTATCTCTACTAAAAATACAAAAACTAGCTGGGCGTGGTGGTGTGTGCCTGTAATCCCAGCTACTAGGGAGGCTGAGGCACAAGAATTGTTTGAACTTGGGAGGCAGAGGTTGCAGTGAGCTGAGATCTTGCCACTGCACTCCAGCCTGGGCCACAGAGTGAGACTCTGTCTAAAAAACAAACAACAACAAAAAAACAAAGTGGGTCAAGAGTGCAGTGATGTGAGACATAGTCAATGTACAGAATGGCAGGCTATTCTGGAAAAGTTAGATTAAAACCAGAAGGCTAAGAACTGATAAGGTTAACTGATCATTTTTAGTATGTTTTAGCTTGTTGGTCTTCCTTTTCTTTCCCATCCTCCTCACTCCTTTCACTTCTTCCTACCTATTACCACATTTCAAGAGTATTTGTCTTTGGACAGGTGGGTCACCTCCTCTTGTCACCATATTGCTTTGTCCGATTCCACGGATGGAGGGAAAAGGCAATGTGGTGACAAGAGGAGGTGACCTGCCAAAGTCCAAATGTTCCAAATGCAGACCTGTCACTAGCTGTGTGCAACCTGAGTAAAACCTTGTCCCTCTCTGAGCTTCAGTTTTCTCTTCAGGAGATTAACATCCTCCTTGTGTCTCTGACAATCTCGATAAAATGATGGAGAGATGAAATAGTTGTGGGAGTTTGTATATCACAAAACTTCTGAGTTCTTAGGAGGACAGGGAGGGATTATGCAGCCTGTGCATTACCCAGGGCCTTCCTTTCCTTTGCAGCTCCTTTCTCTTTAGTTTTCCTTCTAGGACAGTCAACAGTGTGTGCTGGAAGGGACGCTAGACTAGGAAGAGGAGGTGATATTTTAACATGCCATTTTTGATTTTGTGGATTTTTATTAGAGTGTGTTGGCAGTGATGGTTACCTCTGTTTCATTTAACCTAGTGGTCTGTGTCTGTCGTTACCTAGGGGATGATTGAGCTAATATAGCACCTGGCTTCGCCCTGGCGCCTTCGCTCTGGTTAAGGACAAGGTATCCATGCAGACATTTGCAAACAGCTTACTTGGGACCAGGTATATTATTAAGGTCTGTCCATGAACAGCAAGATCTGAATCTTGGTAACCCATGGCAGGATTCCTAGACACCAGTGTCAGGCTGGATGACTTCCAGGATCAAGAAAGAGATGGCCTCCTTTCGAGGCAAGGAAACAGCTGGGCTCTTACTGCTAAATCCAAGAACTGCTCATTAATAGCCTGACAGGACAGAGTTGCTTCAGGCTACAGGGCCACTTTGCTTTAATCACTGGATTGAGGATTAAGTCAGTAATGCTTAAACTGCAGAAAAGTTAGTGCCACGAAAAGGAAGGCCAGACTTACCTGTAATACCCCATAGCGCAAGATGTGCACGTTCCTGGATCATCTGGAAAAAAATTAAAACAATAAAAAATAATAATTATGAGGAATTTGTCATTTGGAAAAATAGGCTCTGGAAAAGTTATGGCTTGAGATAAACAATCCTGTGGGATAGTTTCATGAAATGTACTGTCCAGAAATAATATGTGAACAGATTGCACCATTTTTAATTAGTAACAAGATGTACACTAGGATTTATCTTTATCAAAGGTAATAAGAGTTCTTATAAACACTTGGCCCTACTTTCAAGGAGGAATAGGCTCAAGCTACTGGGTCTTCAAATTAAAGATCAATGACCATCCACATTAAGAACCTCCTGGCCTCTAAGAGATAGGGGGATCAAGCAAGTCCACACACAAATATTTGGAAAGGGCTACAAGCTTCTGACCCTGAATAGAGGGTTTTCCATCAGTTACCCCAGAATCTTGCCAATGGAAGTGAGCATCATTTGGGGCACTCCTTTGAAATCTACACAATTATTTTTCCCAAGTATCCACTTCATGTTATGCCCTTCACAACCTTCTTAAAAAAATTGTCCTGGTCTCATTAAGAGTAATGATTCAATGCGTCCCTTCTGGCTCACAGTAGCGTTCTCTCCTGCAGCTTTCAGGGGACTTAAAGAGAGAAAGGATTTTCAGAGTCATCATCTCAGTCTATTTCTCTCCCTCCTAACACTTCCCAAGAGATGCAACTCTCAGATCTGGCTATAAAGAGAATTCTATGACTTCCTCTGGCCTGCAGTTCTTGCACGTAATAGAGCTATCACTGGCAGGTTCTTTCTGTGATCTAACCTACCCTCCAGTCTTGCTCTTTTTATTTTAATAGGAGATGAAAGGCAACTGCTCCTCTTTAAAATGTTCCTCTTGGTATGTGAAAATTTTATGTCACCTTTAATTAACAAAATAAAACTATGTCATTTGAACTTTGTGCATAGCATTCCTTTCTAATCTGTTCTGCCCACTTCTGGTTTTCTCAGACTGCCCTTAAGAGGTAGACACAACCTCATCCAAATCTTTAGTCACACATTCATCTTAGGTCCTAGGGAGGCTACCAAATGATATTACTGTGTACTACACATAACACAACTAATGCATTGCACCAAATGTTAAGTGGGAAAATTTCTAGCAAAGGCTCTGCTAATTAAAGCAGGGATCTGCAGAAACTTCTGGAAATAGCTTGATGATGGTGCAGTGGAAAGAGCGCTGGCCTGGAAATTGAGCTTCCTGTTTGAAGTTTCAACTCAGGCTTAATTGTGTTGTGAACATGCACAAATGTCACTCTACTTTCTGGGTCCTGGTTTCTGCTGGTATAAAATGAGCTGGTTGGACAAGATGGTTGTTAAGACTTCTGGAAAGTCACAGTTTCCGAAGTTGAGCCTAGCAAGAGTTGGCAATTGTGGCCCGCCCCAGGACCTTGACCTTGCCATCTATTTATTTGTATTGTGTAAGAATGCTTTCATTCTATATAACTGGAGTTGAGTAATTGCAAGAGACCAAAGATATTTACTCCCTGCCACTTCACAGAATTTGCCGTCCCCTGACTATAGCACTATCAGCTCGTGACTTGGTCATGCTCATCTCTGCTAGGGGACACAGGTTCTGTAGTTGTCTTAACAGCTGGTTTCAGAGTTCCTCTTAGCAAAAGAACCATCTATATTTGGGTTAAGCTCCTTGGGGTAGAAGTTTTAATTGGAAGAGTTGAACAAGAGCCAAGACAGCCAAAGAGATAGAAGGGCCCTTCTGCAGGAAGCTGTTATCTGCTCATGGGCGGGAAATGGTTTTTAATGTCTGGGTCAACATGGTTTGTAATACGGTGACTAAGACAGGACAGTGAAATGAACCAAAAACCAGGCTAATTAGGTGGAACCAGGAACTGAAGCTAGAGGTGACCATGAGAAAGAAAAGCTCCCTGGCATTCTTAGAAATCTTGGGGAAGGCCAAGTCATAGACTGGGGATCTGAACCCGTTGTAAGTGCATGCAGAGGCCCCAACACCAGTGGTTCCCCTGTACTAGTTCATTTTCCATTACGAGTCTATTTTTGCATCCATATTCTTTTCAGTTTCTAAATAACTTCCTACCACTAAGCTTGCATTGGGGCAGCTTACTTTACTCTGCCTCCCTGATGAACATATTTGACTCTAACAGTTTTGCTAATTTGGCAAGGGCTGGGGAAATTCTAATCCTGTTCTTTAATGTTCTGGTCATCCCTCCCATCTAGGAACTTAATGAGCTTGCTCTCTGCTCCTTTAAGCAGGTCACTGATGAAAATGTTAAACAGAACCAAGCCTCAGAAATGTGCATACCAATGCAATCTTGAGTTCAGGGACTTTTCCAGCCCAGTTGCACAGCGAATTTGGTACCTTTACAACTGTTTGCATAAATGAATAATGCATAGAACAGGAACTGTGTCTTATAACAGTTTATGAATGTCCATTAGTTTTTCTCATTATTACCAGTTGTTCTAAAGAATGAGCATTATTTAAAAAATGTTTTCCACCCCAGAAGATCCACAAGTCAGACATAAGCTAAATGGATTTAGCTTGACCACTGAGAGGCTGCTGTTATGAGTTTAAGGAAGAAGGTAACAATCCCAAATCTAGAAGTTGACTCTAAGTCAGCTTGGCATTTAGATGGTGAGGAGGGGTGACTTAAGGAGAAAGATGAATTTTCCTGGTTTCTTGTGTGTGTGTGTGTGTGTGTGTGTGTGTGTGTGTGTGTGTGGTAAGGGGAATGGAAAGGGAGTCTAAACAAGCTACAATTGTTAGCTGTCTTGGAAGGTGTTATCCAAAGAAGGATGTTTAAATAGCTCGGGTGATTTGATCTTGTCAAACTTTTGAGCTGAGAGAGCATATTTTAGGGAGAGATAGGGAAAGTTCAGTCAGAATTCAGAGACAGCCTCACACATTTGGAAAAAAGCCTTCAGAAACAGTGGCTGGCTTCCAGCTGCTCATTGTCCCTCCTAAGGAGAGCACGCGAGCAGATGCCTTGTCAGGATGGGGATGCCGTCTTTCTGTCTCGAGAAAACTCATTTTTATTGTTTCATTTGTATGGGGTGGGTTGGGCAGGACTACAATGTCCACTCTATCTTGAGAGCTCTTCATGATGCCCTGTGTCACCTTCCCACTGTGACACAGTGGGATCATCCGTACTGTCACTCATCATGAACTCACTGTCCCATGGAGAAATTGCCTCCTGCTTCAACATCACCTTCAGCAGCCAATTTACATTCTATGCCATTTTATTTTGTTCTCAGTAACACCAATCACCTTCACCATTGAATTTGGATGGATGAGGGCCACAGTGGGAGCTGTGCACATCGTACCTATAAGATGTATTGGGAAGGAGATATTTTAAACTTGAATGTCTAGAGAAGAATTTATTTTTATGGTTTACATGAACTTGGTGTCCCATAATTCAGGATACATACAAGTGGAGGGTGAGCATAACCATGGCAACCTCATGCAGACTGTGAGAGGGTCCTGGCCTTTCTTACTCTGTGAGAAAGAAAATGTCAGCCCAAGTCAGCAAGCTGGCATCTCATGAAGATGCAATGTCACAATTACAGGGTGAGACTGGCCGCCCTGGCCATGCTGGCTGTCCAAAGAGACCAGGTCTCCCTATGGTATCCAGGCTGGTATCAAACTCCTGATCCCAAGTGATCCTTCTGCTTTGGCTTCCCAAAGTGCTGTGATTACAGGGAAGTTATTTTGTCACTGGATAAAGATATTTGTGAAGAAATTGGACTTCCAGCTTCCAGGTTATGTGTCTCAGTATTCTAGCAGAAAAGCATGGAATTTAAGATGGGGTCTCACTGTGTTGCCCAGGTGGTTTTGAACTCCTGACCTCAAGCAATCCTCCTGCGTCAGGCTACCAAAGCCCTGGTATTACAGCCCAGTCTTTGGAGAGACCAGGAAATCCAGAGTTTCCTCCAAGAATGGGGATTCCTGAGAAGCGAATTTCACATTGAGTCAAGAAAGGAGAATCATATACTGTCAAGGGTAATGGCCCGGAGCCTCAAGAACAGGGGAACAAAGAAGAGCTGGGCTTGAGAGGATCATGGTGGTTCTCTGTCCCACTTAAAACCTACCACTACCTCAAGACCCCCTCAAGATGGCGACCTGTCTTGGTTTCAACACCTTAAACAGGAAACACTGGGAAGATGCATACTTCTCTATTCCATATCAGACATGTCTTAGAGGAAACCCGTATATCTGAGTGACCAAAGAAAAGCATGAGAAACATGTGAAATCTGTGCCAGGCCATTCACAATGTTTTGCTGGTGCCCTGGGGCCCACATGCATTTCAAGAAAAATAAAGTGTGTCGAATCTGCAGAAGACTGAAGTATGTCTGTCAGACCTGCCCCTTAGACCTGGAGCATGGCCTGCCCACCCAGGTTTGTGATGCTGAGTTGTCTTTAAAAGATGATACGCCAAAGTCAGATATCAGAGAAGAGCACTACATGCAGAATGTGGAGAGAGGGATTTCTAACTCGAATGGAAGATGGCCAGTTGGCCTGCTGGGGGGAAAGCCACATCTACCAGTGACATGCTGGACAAACTGGCCTGGACCATACCTTATTACCTAAGGAATAAGCCCCACATTTGCTCCTTCTGGGTGGAGGGAAAGGTGAGAGAGGAGAGGAGTTTTGATAGAGACATGAGAAGCCTACAGGTCCACATGGTTCCCTTGCTGATCAGATATTAAAGACCAATATTATACAGTCAGTGACCCTGTAGCAGATAAGCTTCTATTGTAGGCTTCAACCATGCCTCATCCGGAACTCCCAGAGGACAAGACTATCCCCACGCTAGTTGGTGATCCGGGTGATACCATTACTGAGACAGATCTTAAGAAATAATCTCTACCTATTTAGAGAGATCTGGACAATCCCTGTTGTGCAGAGACAACGGTGTGCATTCATCCAGGTTTCCACAGGGCTGGCTGCACAAGTAGCTGCAGAGAAGTCCTTTAATAAGTTCATCATCAATGGCTGTAGACTAAGTGTA